TAAAGTAAAATAGTTACATTTAATAACCTATTTCTTTCTAGATACAAGAAAATATAAGATACATTGTTTGGAATTACTTTGCTTAAAATGTATTACAGGAGGAAGTCTAACAGGAGCAATATTTAATCCAGCATTGGCACTTTCCCTTCATTTCATGTGTTTTGATGAAGCTTTCCCTCAATTTTTTATAGTGTATTGGCTGGCTCCTTCCATAGGTAAGCATATCTTTAATATGTCTGAAAGATTAGGATATTTTAAAATACGATATGAAATGCTGCTGTTACATGTCAATTTCCAAAGTCAGAATAGGCACAAAAAGGAAAAGGAAAAAGGAAGTTAAAATGTTTGAGATAAATGTCATTTAACTCATTTAACTCATTTTGCAGAAGGGCATCTCATGAAACAATGAATAACTATAATAAGTATGGTTTTAAAATTATTCACAAATTCAGCTAGGTGCAGTGGTACATACCTGTAGTCCCAGTGGCTCGGGAGGCTGAGGCTGGAAGATTGAAATTCTGAGACCAGCCTCAGCATTTAGCAAGGCCGGAAGCAACTTAAAGAGACCATGTCTCAAAATAAAAAAATTAAAAGGGCTGGGGATATGGGGATATAGCTCAGTGGTCAAGCACCTCTGGTTTTAAACCCTGGTATAAAAAAAAAAAAATCACAAGTTCCATTCTTTTTTTTTTTTTCAATGTTTTTTTTTTTTTATTTTTAATTTTTTATTGTGGGTTGTTCAAAACATTACAAATTTCTTGACATATCATATTCCACACTTTGATTCAAACAAGTTCCATTCTTGTTATTTCTATTGGGTTCAGATATATAAAAGTCTTCTATAAAGAGGAATCGAATAACACAAAAAATCATACAATTACTGTACTCATAATATGCATTTCTTATAATGAATAAGAGGATGTCCAGCCCTCCATTAATTCACTTTTTGTTCAGTTAGCATTTTCTGTTTCTTATCGCTGATTTTCTGTTTTATTTCTAAAAAAAGGGGCACATGTAGAAGGGAACATTGGCTCCACACACAGTTTTGAATAGCCTCATATTTTCATTCCTCTCGTTCACTTCCCATTCCTTTATTTCACATTTGCTATTTACCATGCTTAGTAATATCTATAGGTACAAACTTGAATATCAGAGAAAAATCTGCATTTAAAAAGGCTAGTGATAGTTTTGTTTCCCCTCTCATTCTATAAATTGTGTTTGTAGTGTTTTCCAATAACTTCTTACAGGCAGGGGCATATGCCTATAATTCCAGTTATGGAGGAGGTTGGGGTAGGAGGATTGCAAGTTTGATGACAACCTGGGCAATTTAGCAAGCCCTGTCTCAAAATAAAAAAATAAAGAAGGGGTGTTTTCCAGGCTGGGATTGTATCTCAGTGGTAGAATGCCCCAGGGTTCAAGCCCCAGCACTCCTTGCCCCCCACCAAAAAAAAAGTTAAAAGAGGTTACTAATTAGGCAGGAGAGTTTTTTGTTTTTGTTTTGTTTTTCTGGTACCAGGGATTAAACCCTGGGGCACTTAACCACTGAGCCACATCCATAGCCCTTTTTATTTTTGCTTTTGAGAGGGTATTGCTAAATTGCTTAAGGTCTCACTAAATTGCTGAGGCTGGCTTTGAATTTGTGATCCTCCTGCCTTAGCTTACCTTACGGAACCAATAAGATTACAGGTATGTGCCACCATGCCTGGCTGGTGATAGTTTTTATATGAAAAATTTCCCCCAATGTTTTATTTGAAACCAACATATATTATTTAATATATCAATTTAACATATTTGTTAGTGTGCTCCAACTACTTTTACTGTAGGCCCATGATGCAAAATTATTATTTCACATACTACTTGAAATAACATTTAAAAGGTCTTTCCAGAAGAATTTTAAAAGAAAAAAATCTGAAGTAATAATGTTTTCTGCAAAGGGACCTCGATTTTTTTTCCCTTAAAACAGGCTTTCCAACTCAAAGCACTTTTTAAAAATCGTTTTCGTTATATAGATGGACACAATATCTTTATTTTTTAATTTTTTTTTGTACTTTTTTTTAATTGATTTTTATTTTATTTTATTTTTGTATTTTTTTATTCTTAATTTCTCTAGTAGATATTTTTATTTTTTTTTATTGGTTGTTCAAAATATTACAAAGCTCTTGACATATCATATTTCATACATTAGTGGTGCTGAAGATCGAACCCAGAGGCAAGCACTCTACTACTGAGCCACAACGCCAGCCCCAACTCAAAGCACTTAATGACTTCTTCCCAAAAGAGCATATAATAGGAAAAACTCTCATGATAGGAAAGAAAGGAAAAGTAACTCGTCACCTTTTGTAGACCAGAGTGGGAGAGTGAAGAAAGGGACTACATTCTCAAGTTTGTATAGTCCAAATAGGAAGATAACACATTTTTTGTGGCCCTTATCAAAACATTTTAAAGACAAACTTACTTCAAAACTATTGAAACACCAAATTAAAAAAAATATATAAATGTTCACAAGGAAACTCTTCTAAGTGGCATCAGAATCAAATTTTCTGTAATTATGTATGGCCCTATTTAGACTGTTGAAAATAAAGATTCTTCCTAAGCTGTCCTAAAAAAGATCCCTAGCTTTTCTCTTAGACCCAACATAAAATTTCTGTTGGAGTTTTTGGTTTAGAAACTCATGTTTCTATAAGGTTTATGAATGAGAAACAAGATATCCTTCAATGAATATGGGTAGAATACATATGTGAATAAATATACATAGTTTTTAGACTACTAAATTCAAGCTTGCCATTGAATTTTGTCATATATTAAAGTTATATACTCACTGGAAATAAATGGCTCCAGATGAAAAATAATCTTAAGGTGTCTATCTTCTTCTTTCCTTTTTTAAAAATATTTTTAGTTGTAAATGGACACAATACCTTTATTTTGTTTATTTAGTTTTTATGTGGTGCTGGGGACCAAACCCAGTGCCTCACACTTGCTAGGCAAGTGCTCTACCACTGAGATACAATCCCAGCCCCCCAACCCCATTTAAAAAAAAAATTGTTATTGGTGATTGAACCTGGAGGCACTCTTACCACTGAGCCACATCCCAACCTTTTTTATATTTTACTTTGAGATAGGGTCTCACTAAGTCGCTGAGGCTGACCTCAAACCTGTGATCCTCTTGCTTCAGCCTCCCAAGTTACTAGGATTACAGGCAAGTGCCACCATGCCCAGTTTCTTTTTCTTTTTTAAAAAAATATTTTTATTAGTAGATGGACACAGTACCTTTATTTTATTATTTTTTTTTTTATGTGGTGCTAAGGAGCAAACCCAGTGCCTCACATGTGCTAGGCAAGTGCTCTACCACTGAACTACAGCCCCAGCCCCTTCTTGACTCACAGGGAGCAAAGTATTCTTGGGAGCCACAGTTCTTAATGTCTTTCTTGATTCTCATCACAGCAGAGATACTATAATTTCTCTAATGGCCCCCATCATCTTCCCAAATGAAAAATATTAGAAATGTGACTATAAGAATGTATACAAGGGGCTGAGGCTGTGGTTCAGCGGTAGTGCTCTTGCCTGGCATGTGTGAGGCATTGGGTTCGATTCTCAGCACAGTGTATAAATAAATAAAATAAAGATCTCTCAGCAACTAAAAAAAATATATAAAAAAAAGAATGTATACAGGACTATTTTCTAGTTTTTACATTTCATACAATAAAAATTGGCCAGTTCTATGTGCTTCTATGAAACTGCAGTTCCATTTTTGGAAAACATTTTAAATGTCATGTCTTATTTTCTAGCTTTGACTCTATAAAGAATTGACAAAATGTATCAATTAACATAAGGATCATATCTGATTCCTTTTCATTTGAAGACTTTGGTTGCAGACTCATCTTTTAAAAATATGTTAAGATATCGAAATACTAGCCAAGTCGTAAGGTTTTTTTTATTGCCAAACAAGAATAAGAAAATTTCAAATTTGCCTGTGACAAAACTAATTTTTAATCTAATTATAAGCTATCTACAGTTTTAAGTCTAAATATAGTAGGATTTTTAAAAACTGAAGAATTCCCTTTTAAGATAGCAATTTGAATTTTGTATACTCAATTGGGTCCCTCTCCTCCCTGTTTCACATTGAAGCAAAGGCTATGTGCTAGATTTATCTAGTGTAACCTCAAAAGACTTTTAGGACTAGGGGGTAGCTCAGTGGTAAAGTGCTTGTCTAGCATGCACAGTATCCTAAGTTTGATCCCCAGCACTGCAAAAACAAACACAAAAAGATTACAAATAAGCAAACTTAAAAAAAATTATATTTAAAAATTAGGCATTGACTGAAATTTTGCTTAAGTATTTTACTTGATAAATCTCTAAAAGCTATTAGTATATAAGACTGATGAGGGAAAAAAAAAAGAGAGAAGCGAGAAAGTAAATATGATATACTGTTCTTATTTGAGCATTCCAGGTGAGAACCTGGCATACTTTCAGTTGTTCTATTCCTTGGGTACAACCCTGGGGCATAAAAAAAATTATATTTAAAAATTAGGCATTGACTGAAATTTTGCTTAAGTATTTTACTTGATAAATCTCTAAAAGCTATTAGTATATGACTGATGAGGGGAAAAAAAAGAGAGAGAAGCGAGAAAGTAAATATGATATATTGTTCTTATTTGAGCATTCCAGGTGAGAACCTGGCGTACTTTCAGTTGCTTTATTCCCTGGGTACAACCCTGGGGCATGAGGGACTGTTGCCATTTTAGAGGTACAGCTGAGGACCCAAGTCCAGACTTTTCCAGCAAGTCAGCAAGGGAGCCAGAACTAAAACTATTAATGTTTGGGTTTTGTTTGTCCTTTGAATTCACTATTTAGATCCTACTGGTTTTATCAAGTACATACTGTTTTTAAGGATTTGTGGTTGAAGAAGAATGTGAGAATATTAGTCTAAATGTATACTAAATTAGGGACTGACTTTCCTTTAAGATTGTTTTGTTTTTATTTTACCTTATTTTGTCTTTCAGGTATATTATTGATGATTTTAGTGTTCAGCTTTTTCCTTCCATGGCTGCATAACAACAATACAAAAAAGGAATAACTATTCCAAAAGACTCAGACTAAGTTAAAAGACAGTCAAGCTGGACGTGCTAAACACTGGCTACACTGGATTCGTCAATGTTTTAACTTCCTTTGAGGAAGCTGTCTTAAGTTTTCATCACTGGGACTTAAAAAAAAAAAAATTACTGTGAAAATGAGGTATCCTGTATTTCTCAGTTAAGACTTGTTCTTTTGAGTGATGTATTAAATGCTGCTAGAAAAGACTCATTCATTAAACCTCACATAAATCTCAAGTGATAATTATGAACTTAGAAGAAGATCAAATGAGTACAAAGTTGAGAAGTGGAGAAAAGGTGATAGTAGGATGAAAGAAATTGTATCAGTTGTTGCTCGAATGAACAGGATTCTTAACCAAAGTATAAACAGTCTAGCTTACAGGACTGGAGAGAAGATACTTTCCAGTGACTACCTCACACAGTGATACCATCAGTGGTATCATCTTCCAATAGGAAAATTGCGTTTGGAAGATTATATATCCATTCATTCTCAAGGGGTTTCTTAAATTTTAAATATATTCTAATATCTAAAATATGTTCTCTAAGTAGATGATCTCACTAACTTCAGGCAAGTTGTATTATAGAATTAAAAACTCACAGGAAGGTGAGATTAAAGCTATCCACCTTGAAATGTACCTTACACCTACCAGGTGAAATAGGTACATGTATTTTTAATCTTTATTGTACAGATAAGGAAACTAAATCTAGATGGGTTTATAGTTTACCACTCTGCCCAAGGTCACATAGAGCCAAATACTGTCTTTACACTTTTACTTCAATCCAAAAACAATGCTCTGACATCTGCCATCCTTGTGATACAAGGAAAACTGAGCGTTTTGAAGAATCATTAAATTCCTTATAATAATATTAAATGCAGGAATCAATTAGTATTTTTGAGGTTTAAAGAACCTTCAACTTTTCTCTATTGGAAGTCTTATTGTCTGAGATTGAATTTTCATTAAACGTTCAGATCATAAAAGGTTAGTGTTTCTCTTCAAAGGCAATTCAGTTAGAATTCAAAGTAAAAAAAAAATGTGGTGAGATATGATCTGAGAAATAATCAATTAACAAGCACATGATAAATTGCCAGGTAATTTAAGTGCTGTTGGAGCTCAGCCTATAGTTGTAGACTGAACAGTGGCAGCTTGTTGCTAAGTCTACCTAACAGGCAGCTGGTTTGAAGATTAGTTTGTCTCTTTAACTTAGAAAAATACATCCCATAGTAATACTTTAAAAAGCAGAGGTCACCAAAATGTGACTGCATAGGTAAAGGTGTCACTGATTTGTTTTACTGGGCCTGCAAAGTATTTAAAATAGAGTCAATATTTTAAGTCTTTTTCACATAAAAATCCATAGTTCCAGCTTCTTTTGCAAAATTCAGATGATCTTACAATATTAGGCCTGAATTCTGCCAGGGCAACACTACTAAATAATGGTTCTTCCCTTTAACAGCCCCTTGTCTTCCAAACATGAAGGTGTGTCACTGTTTCATGGCTATTTTTCTTACAGAAATAGTTCTTTTTATTCATGTTGCTTACATGAAGTCTATGGTTTAAGAAAAATGAGTACTAATTGTGAAAATAGCCCTCTGAACTTCACATCAGATTGAATTTGTGACTTCTGATAACCCTGCTTCCTCTGCCATCTTCTCAAATGGTGGCCACTTTCCCACACTCTCAAACCATTGGGCCTAGAGGTGTTCCTTGTCCTTATTGCTACTTCCCATTCATTCTCCTCTACTTCTTCCCTTAAAAACAGGTCATCAACTACCTGGGTACTTGTTGCAGTTAAGCATTATATAGTTCCCTCAAGTCCCCCTTATTCCTAAGGTCTGAGTTCCTGTCATCTTTTCCATAACACTACTCCAGTTATTTCTTGGTAATTAATACCACAGACAGGATCCTTTCCATGTCTTTGCCCCCGTTTGTTGGTTCCCTCCCCTTTAATAATCTTGTCTTTTACTCTGCTCAGCTTATATATAGCTTCAGGCTTAAAATTTATGATCTCAAACACCCCACTTTCCCACTGTAACTCCTTTCCAGCTCACTCACCCTAGTACCCTGTCTCTAGTGATCCCCTGACTACCATAGGGAACTTTTGCCCACTGATAACTTTTCACATTTCTTATCCCTCTCAAGTACTGTCTTCTACTTAAGCAATCATTTACTTGGGCAATCCTCACAAACATGCTTGCACATACCTGTACCTGTAAATCCCTTTCTCATCTCTTCACCTACCCACGACTTAACCACAACTTGATTAAATGCAATAGTCTGCTTATTTGCACTCATGCAATAGAACACAACCAGAATTTGCTGTGTATGTGTGTGTGTTTAAGGATTTGAGGTTGCTGTCTGTAAGCAGCTGTACATGTTTTACAAGCCAGCATCTAAGCATCTTCCCGGTTTGGGGTAATCTACCACTGTGAGAATCTGGACAGGGCAGTGTCATTTGTTTTAAAAGCTTAAAGTGGCCAGATACTCCATCTGTCCCTTGCAACTAAGGCACAAAGTGCCATCCAGAACTTTGAATCTTGAGTGTACTGACTCAAAGACATAGAGACAATAAAGAAATCAGTCTGATAGCAGCAGGGGAATTAAAACATCTTATGTAACCACTCCTAGGCCCTAACCCTTTTTATGAGCCTTATTTATTTTAGCTTTCTTGTCTATTTTGTAAGCTAGAACATAGCTTTCTAATATTTATTTTCTCCTTAATTAGCTAGTATTTGGATTAATAGCCAAAATTTGGGTTGACACAAGATTGTAATTTCATGAAAATTACTGCACTATATTCATATTCAAAATGTTTACTATTTGAAGTTCAATGAGAATTATCTATGCTTTCTTCATAATGCTTTGAGCTATTTATTGCTGCTCTTAATAAGCCTGATGCAACCACTCCAGTTGCCTTTATTAGCTTGTCCAATGCTTATAAACCATAAACTCATTAGATCTGTTTATAAAGCAGGAGACTTGCCTGAAGGTTCTATGAATAATTGCATGGATTTCACGACATCTATTTTAATTGCTCAATGGAATTTTAAATTTCAGGTTTCTCAAATATATTCTAAGTGGTGGATGAATGTTACAGTTTTTCTTATTGGTAATAATTAACATTTAGTGAGCTATTTTTTAGGCACTGTTGTCCTAAGTGCTTAATATGCATTAGTGATTCATATAATCTCCAAAAAATCCACTCCCCCCCAAATCCTAGCCAGACATAGTGGCACATCTGTAATTCCAGTGACTTGGAAGGCTAAGGAGGATCACAAGTTTGAGGCAGCCTCAGTAACTAAATGAGACACTGTCTCAAAATAAAATACATAAAGGACTGAGGATGTGGCTCAATGGTAGAGCACCCCTGGGTTCAATCCCTAGTACATACAAACAGAACAAATGTCTGTATATACTGTATATTAGTCTTACCCCCAAGTCATACATATTTTTATTATTTTTATCTTTAAAAATTAAGATTAAAATATTCTAACCAAGTTCAATTCTTCAATTTAAGTTTTTCTGACTTCTCATTTGAAATTAGGAAGTCCCCAATTCAGCCTTATAAATACTTACATACTGGTTTTATTCCTGTATATATGAAGAGAATGAATATATTAGTGTAAATATGTTCCATCTCCTCCATAATGTGATGGCAATAATTCTATTCTAGAAATACTTTAAAAATAGGATTTACATGAGTATTAGCTATACAGCAGTAAGTGGATCAAAATTCTATAGATAAGGGGCTGGGGTTTTGGCTCAGTGGCAGAGTGCTTCCCTAGCATGTGTGAGGCACTGGGTTTGATTCTCAGCACCACATATAAATAAATAAAATAAAGGTCCATTTATAATTTTAAAAATTCCATAGATAATCTAGTTTTAAATATTTATTATCTCTGAATCTTCACTAATCACACCTGTTTTCTAAAAGTAAAGGACTATACACCATAATCATTAGTGCATAAACTCTCACCTTCACCAATACTGAGAAAGACCCTAATACCATCTCAAAATATGTAACTCACAAGGCTTTAAATAAAGATTATTTGAGAAGTATAAATATGCTGGACATGGTGGCACATGCCTATAATCCTAGTCCTGGGAAGGCTGAAGCAAGAGGATTGCAAGTTCAAAGCCAGCCACAGCAACTTAGCGAAGCCCTAAGCAATTCAGGAAGACCCTGTCTTTAAATAAAATATACAAAAGGGCTGGGGATGTGGTTCAGTGGTAAAGTACCCCTGTACCACACATACAAAGGGATAATAAAGGCATCTATACTCATAAGGTAGTCCGGTATATCAGAACACATAATATATGCAAAGAACCCAGGATGGTGGCTGATACACAGGAGGTCTTAGAAAATTTTAGTTTCCATTTCTAAGTGGCTCTTTTACTTGCCAATTAAAACGATTAAGACTTTGTGAATCTAGTTTAAAAAAAAGGAAGATTACTTTAATTGACGGATGAGGGAAACCACGTGAAAGTGCTGATGAGAACACTGGGCGGAGGACATCAAAATAGACTTTAGTCACTAATTAGCCAACTGGCTGACTCTGAACAGCTTATTTAACCTACAAGTTATCTGAAGTCCAGGTATAAATCTGGAACTACAAATCAGCCTTATAAATACTCAGAAAAGCTAACATGTGAAAGTTTAAAAAAATGTAAGAAATTATTCCTGATCCAAAGAAAAGCAGCAGAAATTCTTTAAAATATATTCTTTTTCTTACTAAATATTTGCCAGAAGCTCTAACTACATATTTTCTTATTAATTTCATGTTCATATCAACAAAAATGAGCAAAATATGACCAATAAGACTCTCTCATTTTATTTTATTTTTTTTTGTGATGCTGGGGATGGAAACCAGGGCCTCTTGCATGTGAGGCAAGTACTCATTACTGAGATCTACCACTACACCGATAGTATGATATTTTGCCAGCATTACTTAAAAAAACAAAAAAACCTCACTAATAGAATTAGTCAAAAACGAGAACAGTGATATAGAAAATGTAGATTTATTTGTTATGTTATTACAAAGACAAAACAATTATCATTAGAAGTACTTGGGGGACTTTCATTTCAGTTCACTGTTCTGTTACAGAAAACTAACCTAAGAGGGTGGAAACTAAATGATATTAACCTAAGAGGCTATACAGGGTAGACTGGTAAAAGAGGGCAGAAGGAGCAGAAGGTAGCTAGAAACACTCTTGTCAGTGGCAGGATCTGTAGCTAGGATATTTCCCAAGAGGCTACTACAGAGGCCTGAATTAATTAATTTGGCCCCCAAATCAGTAAAAGACTCTTGACTCTGTGGAGAATAACAAAGGCTGATCCCTCTGAGATATTTGCCTTTTCTTCCCACACTCCAAGCTCCTGAGCATGTTTACCACAGGCCTGCTACCATACAGATGATTCATACAGCAAAGGCAGGAATTATAGGCTTACTCATAGGGTTCCTAACACAAAGTTTTGGGGTAAATGATAAACTACAAGTACCCCCTTGGATGAATTATTTCACCTTTGTTAATAAAGTTTGTAGTCCCTTCTGCTGGTGACAACTTGCTGTCTCAGTATAGTCTGTCTTGAGAAATAACTAGTTGAAGAGTTTTGGAGAAGGAAAGACTTTCATCAACCCCACTCCAAAGTGGAAGAGGCACCAGGTTCTCTCCTAGTTATAAGCAGAACCTGAAAAACAAAAGGTTTATAATGTTTATAATACAGCTTTATTTACTGAATGCCTTGTGAAGAGTGCCAAGGGATTTAGATATATTATGTCTCAGTCTTTTCGATAACCTGGCCACGTAGTTACCACCCCACTTTATAGATGAGGACGTTGAGGATTAGATAAGGTATATGCCTTGTCCAAGGCAAACAGCCAGCCAGTCCATGGTAGAATTGTGATTCCACCATTCATTTGCCTTCCCCTTCACTCCTTTTCAGGTATTGAGAGATCCCAGTTCAATTATCTATAAATCATTAATGGTCTCATAAACACTCTAATTATACCTTGTTTATTCTTTAAAGGCACATACAATTTTAAATGATTACAAATTTATAGATATTGTTTGGAATTCAGGTCAATTACCCAGATGGAAAGCCTGAATAAACTATGAATAAAATATCTCTTTGCCTTTGAGCAAAGAACATGAAATTAACAGAAAACAAATCATCAGCTCATTAGAAATTTTGTGGCTATTTTATGGTTATTTCACCATTACAAAGAATCCTAAGAATGTTTGCCAGGGATTGCAGTAACATCTCATTTGAATAACCACTAGCGACACATCAAATGAGTTTCTCATAATCATTATTAACAGAGTGGTCAATGTTCTCTGAACAGTCTATTCTTCAGGGAAAATACATGAAAAATCAGAAGACCCCAAATTCTGTTTATCCAGTCTCAATAAAACTGTTATTAAACAACTATCTCTGAACTGAAAAAAACAAAACAAAAAAACAATGTGCTATAAAGAATTTGATCAGGAAAGGTGATTGAGGTTGGTACTAAAAGGTCTCCCATGAAGAAGAGTGAAGTTACATCTAGAAGTGAGGGATGAGAGCCAACACTCACAGAACACCAGCGGTGTGCACACACATGGCTGTGCAGAGGAGACGCTGCTAATTTTAGACTATCTGGCTACCACTGATAGAAGTAAATGTGAAAATAAGAACTAAGTATTTATGGGAAGAGATATAAATCACAGAACTCTATGATGTTATTTTTTGATAGTTCTACTGGTAGGATCTGAGAAGAAAGCAGAGATCTAATATCACAATTCATGGTTAGTATGAGAAGCAATGTTAAATCCACAGTGGCAATAATTTGGAAGGTCTGTCTGGAATTTTAAAAGGCTGGTCTCTGATATTAAATGGAACAAGGGTACAGGAAATTAAAATTTTAACTTCAGAAAAGCCAGAGCTAAAATTTATACCAGAAGAAAACAAAATTATTATAAATCTTGCCATGTTACTAACATATGCTTCAATAAAAGGATCTGGAAGATAATTCGAGAAGACAATGCTGTTACAGGGAGGAGAGGACAACAATTTAACAATGTGAAAATTTTGCAGTGTATAAAGTTAACTAAGGTTATCAGTCCTATCTTTGAATAGTATGAACTAGCTACATGGTCTTAAATTATTACTAACATATACTTTAATTACTTGAGCTGGAAAAGGACAATATAGGGGCTGGGGATGTGGCTAAAGCGGTAGCGCGCTCGTCTGGCATGTGTGCGGCTCGGGTTCGATCCTCAGCACCACATACAAACAAAGATGTTGTGTCCGCCGAAAACTTAAAATAAATAAATAAATATTATAAAAAAAAAAAAAAAAAGAAAAGGACAATATATTTCTCATAGTAACAAAATAACAAATAGGGACAAACTTCAGGCAAAGCTCATGAAAGTGTCACAGGAGAGAAAATTGGCAGAGTTCTTTCATCAGCCGTGAAAAGCAGGTAAGAAATTACTTTGGAAATTATGGCTTTTTGGATAACTCTACATGGACTTGTTATGGTTTGGTAAATCAGCTTTTAATACTAAGATACATGTGGCAAGTGTGTAATAGATGTTAAACTGAACATCACCACGTTTGTAGACCCTGATTTCTTAGGGAAAAATACGTGTAACTTTCAGTAATTTCAGAATTGGGAAACATTTTTCTGAACTTTATAGAGCTCTCTTCAATTATGAATATAAAAACTTATTATTTCAGATGCTTTTCATGTTCAGTGACAAGGAAGAAAATAAACTACTCACTTTTAAGCAGCATAAATCATTTTCAGTGATCAACATCCGCATCCTCAAACTGTCCAGCAACTGTTGGTGTGGTATCTACCTCCATGCCATCTGAAAAAAACAAAACAAAAAATTTTGCTGAGCCTTACTCTACTGAGTACTTCAAATAGGTAGATTCAATGTATAATTTCAACCAGAAGGAAGCTAGTGCCCTCTGTTGGTAAGAGTTGCCCCTCCCCTTCTTTAACTAAAATATCCAGAAACAGAGAAAGGAAAACAACACCTATTAATTTAGGCCAAGTTAAAATTAGTTTACACATTTAACATTTACTTTGTAAATACTCAAACTCAACAAAGAGCTGGAGGTAGGAACTTTTAAAAATTATTTTTTGTGGTGCTGGGGATTGAACCCAGGGCCTTGTGCATGTGAGGCAAGCACTCTACCAACTGGGCTATATCCCCAGCCCCAGGAACTTTCTTTTTTGCAGTACTGGGGACTGAACCCAGGGCCTCATGCATGCTAGGTAAATGTTCTACCACTGAGCTACAGCTCCAGCCCTAGGTAGGAACTTTCATTTAAAAAAAAATTTTTTTTAATATGTATTTTTTAGTTTTCAGAGGACACAACATCTTTGTTTGTATGTGGTGCTGAGGATTGAATTTGGGCCGCACGCATGCCAGGCGAGTGCGCTACCGCTTGAGCCACATCCCCAGCCCCCTAGGTAGGAACTTTCAAATGCAGTAAATATCAACTATTCACTATTCACAGATTTGTGCTATTTACTGTTAGCCCCCCCCCCTTTTTTTTTAAGGTATGTGGTCCTACTTTCACAAAACCTATAACATGAGGAGAAAAGACAAATCAGAATAAACGGCTTGCTTACTACCCTGTGGCAGTAAAAGTGAGAAGTGACACAGAAAAAAAGTCCTGTGGATAGATTATCTACAACTACTCTATTTACTTCCTAGCTTCCATTCACTCCTTCACTTTCAGCCCATCACAGACTTCTTCCAAAAGCCCCTTGGTATCCTACCACACTGGATATGCAAATGTCCTATCTCTCCACTTTTCTAGTCTTGCTAAAGGGGTACCACTTGTCTGCCTAAACCAGAAACTCCTACCATTTCTCTAATTTGTATTGTTTCTACCTCCTAAATCTCTTAAATGTCAAGTCTCTTGATATTCACTACCTCCACTTAATTTAGGCCACCATCTCTAATTTAATATATAATTTAATAAAAAGGCTTCTTGTCTTTCCTCAAGTATATTTCCTCTCCCTCCAATTTTCCATATTGCGTTACAGTCACCATCTGAAACACTATAATCAAATTGTTCAATGGCTTCTCACTGACCTAAAGGTAATGTTCAAAAAAAACCTTTTTGCCAGGTTTGGTGGCACATGCTTATAATCTCAGTGACTCAGGAGGCTGACATCACAAGTTTGAGATCAGCCTCAGCAATTTAGCCAGATCCTATTTCAAAGTAAAAAGGGTTGGGGATGTAATGTAGCTCAGTGGTACAGCCTCCCACCAGGGTTCAATCCCCAGTACCAAAACAAAAACAAATATCAATCAATCATACCTGGGGAATTGAACCCAGAGCCTCAACCACACTAGTTAAGCTTTACCACTGAGTTGTATCACTCACTGCTTTCCTTTAAAATTTGAGGCAGGGGCTGGGGTTGTGTGCCGCTTGCCTAGCACATGTGAGGCCCTAGCACCACATAAAAATAAATAAATAAATGTATTGTGTCCAACTAACTAAACAATAAATATTAAAAAGAAAAAATTGAGGCAGGATCTTACTACGTTGCCCAGGTTGTCCTTGAGCTTACAATTCTCCTGCCTCAGCCTCCCGAGCAGCTAGGATTACAGGTCTGCACCACACTGGCATGAATGACCTCTTGAACCTTTCCATTCAACAAAGCCCTTGACCTGCCTCTTCCTTCAACCTGTGTGCAATCTCCCTTCACCTAGGTCACTTCTCTTCATTTTTAGATCACAGCTTAGATATCACTTAACTATACCAGTTGGTGAGGGGCCTACCCCGTACGAACTCACAGCTTCCCGAGCATCTCCTGTATCTCATGGCTGTATCTCTACATATTGTTAACTTACTCTTCTGTTCACTAAAAAGTCAATGACATGAAGATATAACCTCATCTTTCTCAAGCACTATTGTATTCACCGTACCAGGTTCAGTGAATAAATGCCTTTTACAAAACTGAGTACCTAAAACACTGAAATACCATTAGCAGACTACAAATGTTTAAGTGACAACAAGAATGATGTGAGTACTCAGAACTTTAGAAGATGGGCAATGGTGTAAAATTAAGAAGTTTTACAGATAGGCAATTCCAGTGTGTTTTATTTAATAAAGCATATGGATTAAAGTCCTCAAATTTTACTTTAATCCAGTTTTTTTGTGATCTTAAAATAATTTGCTACATAAAATATTAATCAAGGAATTTTATAATTAAAAAAACAAAAACTGGGGCTGGGGATGTGGCTCAAGTGGTAGCGCGCTCGCCTGGCATACGTGCGGCCTGGATTCGATCCTCAGCACCACATACAAACAAAGATGTTGTGCCCGCCGAAAACTAAAAAATAGATATTAAAAAAAAAAAATTCTCTCTCACTATCTCTCTCTCTGTCTCTCACTCTCTCTTTAAAAAAAAAAACTTCATTAATAAAAGTCTTTTTTCAATGTCTACACCATCTAAGTCATTTCACCCTTTTAAAGTCTACATTAAAGGTTCACCAGCTGGGGCTTAATATGGTGAACCAGGTGGAATGTGACACACTTGTAGGATGACTTGGGAGGATCACTTGAGCCCGGAGATGAGATCAGCCTGGAAAACATAGTAAGACCACCATCTCAAACAAAAACCAAAAATTTAAAAAGCAGGGGACAAAAGGAATAATAGTGAAACCCAAACCCCAAACTTTTCCAAACTAAACTATCCCATAAGTCAGGCATGATGGTACACACATGCAATCCTAATTATTCTTACAGTCTCAGGTAACTGGGAGGCTGAGGTGAGAGGATCACTTGAGCCCATGAAATTGAGATTGGGTGACAGAGGGACCCTGTCTCAAAAATAAATTTTTAAAAATTCCAGAACTTCAAGAACCCCAGGTCAAAATGCTATGTGCATGGAGATAAAGGTACTGATTAATGCATTATGAGAGAAACTTAAGCATACGAATAAGTGAAAAACTAAGGTAAGCCTCTTTAGAAATATTCTGTAGTCATTACTAAATACAAGAAAGATGCAAGAAGTGTTTATAAACCAGTGTATTATTTCTGTGTGATGGTTAATTTTATGTGTCATTTTGGTCAGGCTGTTTTGCCCAGAGTTTGTCAAATATTATTCTACATATTACTGTGGAGGTATTTTTAATTTCTTTAAAAATATTTTAGTTGTTGATGGACCTTTATTTATTTATATGTGGTGCTGAGAATCAAACCCAGTGCCTTACACACTAAGCCACAAACCCAGCCCTCCTTTTAAATTTTTTTATGAACTTATTATTAATGAATTTTAAAATTGTATTTATTTATTTTTTGGTACTGGGAATTGAACTCAGAGGCACTCAACCACTGAGCCATATCTCCAGCCCTATTTTATATTTTATTTAGAGACAGGGTCTCACTGAATTGCTTAGCGCCTCCCTCTTGATGAGGCTGGCTTTGAACACACAATCTTCCTGCCTCAGCCTCCAGAGCCACTGGGATTGCAGGCGTGTAACACCGCGCCTAGCTTTATTAGACCTTTTAAAATTAAATTTTAATAGGTACATTATAATTACATATAACGGTGGGATTCATTGGATATTTTCATATACACACACAGCACAATTTAGCCTGTTTCATTCCCCATAGCTCCCTTTTTCCTCCTTTCCTCCCACTCCCAATCTCCTTCCATTATTTTACTGGTGTCTCTTCTATTTTCATGAGGACTCCTTTTTCCTTAGTTTTCACATGGGAAAGAAAACATATAACTCTTGCTTTTCTCAGTCTGGCTTGTTTCACTTAGCATTATGTTCTCCAGTTGTATCAATTTTCCTGTAAACAACATAACAGAGTTCTTTATGGCTAAAACTTTATGGAGTATATGTACCAATTTTCTTTATCCATTCATCTGTTGACAGACATGTAGGCTAAGTCCCTAACTTGGCTACTGTGAATTGAACTGCTATAAATGCAGATATGCATGTATCACTAAGGTAATGCTGACTTCAGTTCTTCTGGATAAATACCAAGGAGAAGTATAACTGGGTCATAAGATGATCCCATTCCTGTCTTTGGTGTGGAGGTACTTTTTAGATGAGATTTACATTGAAATCAGTGAACTTTGAGTGAACCAATTTCCCTCCATAATATGGTAGGCTTCATTCAGCCCATTGAAGGCCAAATAGAAAACTGACTGCTCTTACCCTAAGCAGAAGAAATTCTGTCAGCAGATCACCTTTGGACTCAAAATGCAACATCAATCAATTCTTCCCTGGGTGTTCAGTCTGCCAGCCTACCTTGCTGATTTTGGACATGCCAGCTTTCACTGTTTACACATCTATCTATCTATATTTGTGTGTGTGTGTAAAAATAAGAGTGTGTATGCATACACACATACAGGAGGACATCCCTTCACTTTATGCCTGTGAAGAAGGATTACCCTATCAAATAGTAATGTTATTCGGTAACACAGCAGATATCATAGCAGCTTGATGTAAAATGTAGGGATGTTTCCCTGGTATGTGTGTGTGATACATACACATTAGTTAGTGGAAAAAGGGGAAAACCTAGATACAGACATGGACAGAGGATGTGAAGCCATAGGGAAAACAGAGCCATGTATAGGCCAAGAAAAGGGACTGGAATAGATCCTTCTCTCAGTCCTCAGACAACCAACCCTGGGCTTCTAGCCTCCAGAATTATGAGACAATACATTTTTATTTTTAATACCACTCAGTCTATGGTACTTTACTATGATAGTTCAATCAAACTAATACAGATTTGCAACAAAAAATAGTAAATATATCAGTCAGAATATACTTATTTTTCTTTTCTTTCTTTTTCCATTTATTCATTGTTTGTGAGCATTTTTTAAATATTTGGGGCTGGGGATGTGTCTCAGTGGTACAGTGCTTCATTAGCATTAAGGCCCCAGGTTTAATTCCCAGCACTGGGGGTGGGGGTGGGGGGGAGAAACAAACAGAATTTCTATTTTTGTAATTGAGGGGTATGAAATCACTAAAAAAGCAAACAAACCCTGTAAGAATTCCCATTCTAGGTAATTGTACATTTGTTTCCTACTGTAGTTAATTTTGAGATTTGTCTTAGTTTCCAAAATAACCTGTTTCTCCATAACTTCCCTTACTGCTCAGGTAGCCATCTGTTCACACTGAAGAGAAAGGACACTCACCTTCATAATCTCTTACTGAATCTTCCGTCCGGACCCCAGCCATGTTATACTGGCTGCTCACAGACTGAGAAAGCATTCCTTCTAATCTCTCCAGTGTAGCTTGCCCTTCTGCTGTTAAATGGGATAATCCTTCTTCATAGGTATAAAATGTAGGAATATCCCCCTGCCCTTGTTCTAAACAAACAGAAAACTTTTAAGCCATTATACAACAATTAGAAAAAACAAGATGAATAATTAATACATTTGCTAAAGATGAGGTAGAGTAAAAAAACATTTCCGGAGAAACACCTCCAACATTCACTAATGTGGACACTGTTGAAGACAAATATAAAGAGAATGTCCCTACCCTCCAACATGAGAAAGGATTCCTAGAGGTAATAAACCAGTAAATAGCAATTCCCAGAGAAAGACATGTTCGGAGAATACAAGGAAAAAAGAGGGTCAAGGAGTCCTATATTATCGCAGGTGGAATTTTACAGGTGAGAGTAAATCAGTTTGATATTAATTTGTACTAAAGGTTTTATTATGATTAAAATACATGCTTTTCAGAAATTTTGGAAAATACCAAAAGGACAAAAAATAAAAACCACTCAAAAATCTCAGAAGGATGAGACATATTTAGATAATGTGAAGGAAAATTTCAGAAATGAGTGTAAGGCCAAGAATCTAGGATGTATGAAGGAAAAGTGCTGTGGACACCCAGATTAGTGTTTGGAAGATTAGTGGGGGAAAAACAAAACAAAACAAAAAAAACCAAAGAGAATTCACATGCCTCAAACTATGAGACTCTACTAGGTTAGTGAATATAATTCTAGTCTGGGAATGCAATGGAAAATATTTTTAGATAAATGAAGAATAGTCTGGGAAGGAAAAACTGACCTTGACAGTAAGCTGTTAGAAGAAATACATTAAATAAGACAGAGATGACTCAGCTTCTCAAAGAATGGAGACAGGTCTGTTCTCTTGGGGCAGCTACTTCAGTTTAAGACCCTTTTCTGACTATCCATCACTTTTCTTTCCTTCTATTTATCTCTATTTATTCATGTTCTCCCACCAATAACATTTTACCCTCCAACTTGGAAAGCTCCCATATTCTCCCAGTTCAATTGTTGAAAGGGCTTAGGCATTAAGTGTGCCACTGTATGGGTTAGTTTTATTTATAACTGTTTTACTGGCTGCTTCTTGGATACATAAAGGACTATAATCCCCTACCCTGAATACAAATAAGTGCTCAAAATGAAACAGTAAAACAAATCCTGAAAATACATTTCACTAACCATGTGCTTCCACATCATATTCTTCTCCATCATAATCATCTGAGTCTTCATCCTCAGGATCTGGATGCAAAGCCTGGCATTCACACATTGCAGTGAACATCACTTCCACTAAACAAAGACATTAATTTATAATTCATATTTTTGGAATAAAATAATATTTTATAATAAAATAACCATCAGTGCAAATAAATTTAACAGGTAGATGAGATTTACTAGGATAACAGTATTTACAATTTTGAAATTCCAAGTAGGGCTGATCCTTCAAAAAGTGCCTGAGGTTGCAGACAAATCACAAACTAAGAATTCATTTCAAGATATTACTGAGATCTCTTAATGGGTGGTTGGATTTTCTGCAAAAAGTGATCGGAGTCCTTGGTCAGATTGATCAGGATAAATCCTCCCAGTTGATGGGGCACTTTCCAATGATCTCTCACTCTGGAAATGCTGTGACTACTCTACTACCCAACAGATGAGATTCACAGTAGCATAAATCAGTAAAACTAAACAGAGTCCTCCACTCACAAAATACACCAGGTAACATAGTGTATACCACACTCACAACCCTGATATTAATAGTACGTCATCTTCAATGATATTATAGATGCTAAAATAAAGAAAAAACAGAATGGAGGTAATGGTGCATCAATGGGGGAATGCTTGGTACATAAAGAGAAAAGATAAATGCTATAGAACACTCACATGCTGATTTATCACTAGGCACAAATCTAAATTCAGTAATAGGTTCAACATCATCATCACTGTCTTCCTCCTCTTCATCAGCAAGAGATTCTTTTGATTCTTCTAGAAAGATAATAAAAATAACTTTTTAATGATATTACTCATTTGACTTTTTGAAAAAAAAAAAGCTAGAAGAATTTCCTAAGAGATACTTTTTGATACATCTGAAAAACTACAATTTAACTTTTTCTTACAGTTATTTTAGAGCTAAAAAAAGTTCTAGGGGTGTAGCTCAGTGCTACAGCACTTGCTTATCATGTTCAAGGCCCTGTGACAAATCCCTAGCACTGGTGGTGGTGAGACTCTGGATAGTCTCTGGTTAGTCACATTGTGCTTCACTGATTCCTAAGGATTTCAGGGTTCCCACAGAGCCACAGTGATTCCACTATCATTTGTTTTATTACTTTTCAAGTTAAAGCAAAGGGTTCAGAAGCAGTGTGTATCCACTGATGTGATTGACAACTAATAATTCACAGATGAGAAAACTAAAGCCCATGGAAGTTAACTGACCCAACAGATAAATTAAACAGTCTGAAGACAACAACAAAAAACCTCCCCAAAACTGTTCAAAGAGAACTGACTTAGCTTAGTCACAGAGCACTTGTTCAGCATTTGGGAGGCCCTGAGTTTCATGGGGTGGGGGGTGGGGGTATAGAGACAAATGTTGAGAGAAAGGAGTAAGTGCTGGTGCAAGTGGAAATTGCTACAACCACGTTACACATTTAAGCATGTACTAATGAAAATATAAAAAATAAACTGAATATTCAAGAAAGGGAAACGGATGCATTGTAACCTAATCATATTTTATAGACAACTGTTAAAAAATAAAACTGAATGAAAAAGCTAGCTGCAGAATGTATAACATCAATTACATTAAAATGTTAAAACACCACACAAAACCCTTATATTGCTTATGGGCATATACATTTCAGTAAAAGTTAAAAGCATAGATAGGAAGAACACATAAACCTCATGATACTGTTTGACTCTCAATTTAGAGAGTAGGGGATCAAATGGGAAGTCAGACAAAAAGGGTTTGAAAGTACTGACAAAATAATTTTTAAAAGTCTAGTAATTATGAAAACGTTAAAATTTATGCTGGATATTGAATAACAGAAAAATGTTTATTATTCTCTGTACTTCTCAATGTTTGAATTTTTTCATAATAAAAAAATATAGGTCACCAAAATATTTAAGTAGGCCCCCAAAACATTAAAACACATTCCAAATTAGTACTCTTAAAAATATAAGTTTTGCTATAACAAAGTTACCATTTTAAGAAAATGTTAATTTTCCATGTGGATGAAGATGAGGTAGAAAGGTACTCCTCCTCCCCTCCTTTTTTTTTTTTTTTTGTAGAGCTGGGCATCAAACCTATGGCCTCATGCATGCCAGGCAAGCACTCTTAACACCGAACCATATCCCCAGCCCCCAAAGTATAATCTTAATATAGCAATTCTATTTGCAAAGGTCAATTATAGGGGCACTATCCACTAAACCCTTTATGTCATGTAAGTTTATTATAGATTAGTGAAAAACATACAAATAAGCAATAAGGAAAAAAAACCCAAATGGCCAGTATTAGTAGTTTGAAGTGACAGATTTTCTGTTTCTGTTTCTAATGTTATTATATTGTTAAATATAATATACATGTCTCCTAGCTGGGCAATGGCACATGCCTATAATCCTAGCCATTGTGGGGTTCTGAGGCAGTAGGATTCTGAGTTCCATGCCAGCCCCACACAACTAAGAAAGACTCTTGAAATAAAAAATAAAAGTGGATGGGGGTGTAACTCCATGGTAGGGCACCCCTTGGTTCAATTCCCACTATTGGGAGGGGACAGACACCCACCCACACCCCTACCTTCTGTAAACAAGTAGAACAATATAAAAATACTGGAGAACTCTAAATAATTCTAAATAGTAGAATAAGTTACTTAGTACTACCAAACTTTTTCAATACACTTTAAAAAATAAAATTGTGTCACACTGTAATTACTATTCTATAATTGAATATTGCTTTTAAAAATAATAAAAGTAATAAATGCTTGTATAAAAATAAATGGAAGAGTCTAAATGTATTAAAAGAAAAAGTTCCTACCCCTATAGTTCATCTCCCCAGATATATTAATTCTATTATATCCTCATGATTTTTTTAACACTATAGTTTGAATCTACCTTAAGGCAAAAAATAAAAATGTATAGCATTTTTACAATCCCAAAAGATTACATCCATCACCAACACTTACCATCTCATGCTAGGTCACTGCAGTAGCATCCAAACTATGTCTCTCTAAACCTTTATAAATTTTCAACAATGGGAATGAATTTTAAAAATAGATTATTTAAAGATACTCTAATCTTAACAATGAGCTGATAGTCATTTTAAAGGAGATTTTGTGTCGAAGGAGAAACTACTTTCTAGAAAGCTGGAAAAGTCTTCACATATTTTTCTAAGAAAGGATCAATCATAATCTCATCAATTTCAAGCAAATAATCACATAGAACACAAGTTTTTGGTTTTTTTTTTTTGGTACCAGGGATTGAACCCAGGGCAATATAACCACACAGCCACATCTCCAGCCCCTTTTAAAAATTTTTTTAGAGGCAGGGCCTCACAGAGTTGCTTAGGGCCTTGAAAAGTTGCTGAGGCTGGCTTTGAACTCACGATCCTCCTGCCTCAGGTTCCCAAAGAGCAGAGTTTAAAATATCTACCTAAAACCTACTGAATTGTCCCATTTCTTGAAGTTCAGAACTTCAAAGATTTGCTTTGTGTGAGCAAAGGTGGGTATTAGGGATCAAACTCAAGGCCCTGTGCATGCTAGGCAAGCTCTCTACCATTGAGCCACATTGCAGCACATTTTATCTTTGTATTTTGAGGCAGGGTCTCACTAAGTTGCTCAGGCTGGCCTGGAACTTGAGATTCTCCTGCCTCAGCCTCCTGAGTAGCTGGGATGTTCCACCACAACCAGCTAAGCATTTGCATTTTTAATAAGATCCCAGATATATCTAATATGTAGCCAGGTTTCAGAATTGAAGACTAGTAAAATCCTCTTAATTTTTTGGATGAAACAGATGCTCAGAGAAAACGACTTGCCTAGCAAGTTAACCACCCAGAATTTCCTTATTTAGTATTCTTTATCTGTTTAGCCAGTATTTGCCTGAACCTTAACTCTCTAGCCTTTTTACTGACAAGTACCCAATGCCAATGCCTAACACTATTTAGGGATATTTTACAGTGGTATTTGTTTTGTTTTTGGTGCTGGAGATTGAACCTAGGGTCTCATGTATGCTAAGCACACATTTATGTCACTAAGTTACACTCGGCACTAACACATCAGCATCTGGAATTGACTGACAAGAATATCTCTAAGCCTTTGCATTTCTATGTGTGACTAAACACAACACATGATTCTCTTAACACTACAGTTTGAATCTTGAATGTCATTAAAAGGCCCACACGGTAAAGGTTTGGTTACCAGCCTATGAAGCTATTAGAAGTTGGTGGAACCTTTAGGATAAGGGGACTGGTAGAAAGAAATTAGGTTATGCCCTCAGTGGAGATACTGGGACCCCAGTCCCCACATTCTTTTTTTGCTTTTTGGCTGCCATGAGGTGAATAGGCCTATTCTACCATGTACTCCTACCATGATGTATTGTGCCACTACAGGCCCAAAGCAATAGGGCCAAGTGAACCAAAACAAACCTTTCCCTTATTAAGTTGGTTACCTCAGGTATCTTGTTACAGTAACAAAAAGCTAAAAGTTGCATTTACCTAGTGAGTGAACTTCCGAGCCTAACATCTCACTAAGAAATTATCCTACACCTCAAGTTCAACAGCCTTTCACTTTTCCTTATCCTCTTTTTTAAACTTCACTAGAGTTTTTTAAATCTCTCTTTGAAGCTTTCCTAATGGCAAGAATTTAAAATCTTATAACAAATATATTTTCAGAGCATTGAATTAGTCTTTAGCACTTAATGAGACAGGGGTTGCCAAAGCCCTAAAAATTAATAATGAGTGTCACAACTGAATATAAATGGTCATATTATATCTGGAAGCATATGAAAACCCTAAAGGAGCAATACTTAAGGAGGCAAACTCTTTGGGATTTTCTGTTATATATTCTATTAAAGAAAAATAACCTGTTATCTTAGAAGAAAACCACTTCACTATACATTTTTGTTTTTGATACTGGAGATTTAGCCCAAGAGGCTCTTTACAGCTGAGCTACACCTGCAGCCCTTTTTATTTTTTATTTTGAGACAAAGTCTCAGAAGTTGCTTAAGTCCTTGCTAAGTTGCTGAGGCTGACTTCCAGCTTGCAGTCCTCCCACCTCAGCCCCCAGAGTCGATGGGATTACATTCTACCATGCCTTATTTCACTATACTTTCAATCTTTTTAATTATGTCTATCATCCAATCTTGGAAATTTTGTAAACCAGACTTCTCAACCTTGGCACTACTGACATTTGGACTGGATAATTCCTGTTGTGAGGGGCTGCCTTGTGCACTGTAGGATATTTAGCAGGATCCTTGGCATCTAAGGATTCCCGCCCCTTGATAATCAAAAATGTCATTTCCAAATGTGGCGAAATGGAGGGCTGAGGTGAGAGGCATGAAAATCCTCCCTATCCACCTGCTGAGAACTATTGTAACAAATCAAAAACACTTTTATTCTAAATTCTTAGAAACACAAAATATATAATACAAGTCTTTAAAGGGTGCCTTTACAAAGACAAAGATAATAAAGAATTAAACTCAAGAGAAAAAAGTAGAACTATATATCCAAAATAACAAAAACTTCTAAGTGCAAATAAATAATAAGTAAAATAAAAAATAAAAGGCAGATACACAAAATAAATGTCCATTATTATCAGAAATTCATGTCTAAATTACATTTTTATCAAACACTGCTTTCAGGCTGGGGATATAGCTCAGTTGGTAGAGTGCTTGCTTCACATGCACAAGGCCCTGGATTCACTCCCTAGCACCAAAAAAAAAAAAAAAAAAAAGGTTGCTTTCAAGATGGGCATGGTAGCCTGTGCCTACAGTCCCAGCTACTTGAGAGCCTGAGGCAAGAAGGATGGCTTGAGCCCAGAGCCTAAGAGTTAGGGACAAATCTAGGCAACATAATGAGATTCCATCTCAATCAATAAAGACTGCTTTTGAAATACACTTTACCACCAAAGGAAGCACTAGATTAAATTACACCATACATACCTCCAAATTTGGCATTCACCATAACATACAAATGCTCTCGAGGATAAGCATTTAGGTCCCTGGACACCGCATGTAAACTAACGGTGGGGTATTCCAGTGAGAATCCTAATCCAGAACCATCTAACCAAGACAGGCGGCTGAAAAACATGTTTTAAATAGATTATTTTTAGAAACTGAATCCTAATAATATTCCAAAGTTTATAAAGGTTCAGCCTAGATACTTTCATGCATGTGAATAAATCCAAATTAAGTTTTTAGAAACATTCCTAAAATAAGAAAATTCAGCAGGAACTGAATTGTCTTTAAGACCAAATCTGTTATACCTTATTTTCTACCAGCTATAAATTAAAATAGATTTGAAATGCAATTTTTTAAAAGTGATTTATTCTTATTTGGATTGTCTTCTGGTACCCTATTTCCTTTTGCCAATCTTCCTTATCTAGTTAAGTCCCCAGCAATTCCATGAGCTCTCCTTTCAATTACCACAGTCTATAATAATCTCCCCACTTATGCTCAGTAACATACAATTAGGGCTTTACTCTGTAGAAATGAATCTTACATATAACCTGCTACTTGACAGCAGAACCTGACTTGTCACATTCCTGTAACATTCTTTGAAAACATTAGCATAGTGCTCAGCATGTAAGCATGCAATGAGTATTTGGAAATCACCAATTTCCCCATTAATTTTTTTACACTAAATGATACACATTTAAAATGGCTATAATCACAATCACAAGAGATACACTCTATGAAGATTTTCACTTTATTCCCAGCTTAAGGAAAAAGCTATAAATAAACTAGGTATAGTTTTCCCTCAAAAGTGGTCACATGCAAATATTTTATTGATATGACAAAAGACACATATCACCAAAATCAGTACACTGAATTTTGAATAGGTATTGCCTAATTTTTTGGTAATAACTACCCATATGGAATATATCACTTAGCAGAAATTAGCAAAAAGATCCCAAAGAAAGCACAAAAATTGTTTTTGTAAAACAAGTTCATGTAGTATGGTAGATATCTAGGGCTAGTAGGAAATAGAGAATGACTGCTAAGGAACCTTGATGGAATATCTTAGAAATATTCTAAAATTGATTGTGGTGATAACTGCCAAGTCAGTAAACTATGTGAATTACCTCAACAAAGAGAATTTTGGAAAGAACTTAAGGGGGTTGGAGATATAGCTCAGCAGTAGAGAAGATGCTTAGCATGTATGAGGCCGTGGGTTCATCCTTACCACTAAATAAATAATAAACAAATACATAAATAAAGAAGTTAATTCAACAATATTCCTATATCAGTCTGTTTTCTTTCTTTTTTAAAAAAAATATTTATTTTTTACGTGTAGATGGATACAACATAATGCCTTTATTTTTATGTGGTGCTGAGGATCGAACCCAGGTCCCGCCCGTGCTAGGTGAGCGCTCTACCGCTGAGCCACAATCCCAGCCCCTCTATTTTCTTTTTTAAAAAATATTTTAGTTATAGTTGGACACAATACCTTTATTTCACTTATTTTTATGTGGTGGTGAGGATCGAACCCAGGATCTTGCACGTGTGAAGCGAGCACTCTATCACTGAGCCATAACCCCAGCCCCAAATTTTTCTATACACTTTTAATAAGCTGAGGTATCTAATATCTACCCAATCAAAAACAAAAGTATAATAGGAGAATCCAGGACTCCCTTGGGCAGAAACAAGGACAGTGTGGCAGTCTGAACTGTTCACATTCAGTGTGAAGAGGAGGTTGAATTCTACACCCAAGTCCTTCTAGAACAACATAACAAGTATATAAGACATGATCCTCAGTTATCAAAAGCATTATTAAAAGCAAAGGCAGGTCTGAGCATGGAGAAGCACCTCTATAATCCCAGCTACTTGGGAGACTAAGGCAGAAGGACTGCAAATTTGAAGTCAACCTGGACAATTTAGTGATATCCTGTCCCAAAACAAAAAAAAAAAATTAAAAAGGGCTGGGGCTGTAGTTCAGTGATAGAACACATATTTAGCATGGTTTGCTACAGCATACCTAGCGTGTGCAAGATCTCCACCCCCACAAAGAAAAAACAAAGGCAGTGTATTAAAGACTATGGTAATTAACTGTTTAATTCCATAAATATACTGAAGGCAATATAACTGTGTCTTTTTTTTTTTTTTTCCGTCTTGGTACTAGGGATTGAACCCTGAAGTGCTTTAGCACTGAGCTACATTTCCAGCCCTTTTAATTTTGTATCTTGAGACAGTTTCATTAAATTGCTTAGGGCCTCACTCACTTGCTGAGGCTGGCCTTGAACTTGTGATCCTCCTGCTCAGCCTCCCAACTAATGGTAGCTTTTTAAAAAATTGAAAGCCATTGCTGAGTGCAGTGGCACATGCCTATAATCCCAATGGCTCAGGAGGTTGAGGCAGGAGAATCATGAGTTCAAAACCAACCTCAGCAATTTAGCAAGGCCCCAAGCAACTAGGAAGACCCTGTCTCTAAATAAAATACAAAAAATGGCTAGGGATATGGTTCAGTGGTTGAGTGCCCCTGGGTTCAATCCCTGGTACAAAAAAAAGAAAGCCAGGAGAAGACCGCCAGAACGGCGCAAAGATCACACACCCCAGCCCTGGAAGATGGGGAACTGTCTCAAATCCCCCACCTCGGATGACATCTCCCTGCTTCACAAGTCCCGGTCCGACCATGCTAGCTTTGGCGAGGGGAAGGAGCAGGATCAGGAGCCGCCACCGCCATATCAGGAACAAGTTCTAGTTCCAGTTTATCATCAAATACCTAGCCAGACTCGGCTAGCAACTCAGCTGACTGAAGAGGAACAAATTAGGATAGCTTAAAGAATAGGCCTTACACAGCATCTGCCTGAAGGAGTTTATGACCCTGGAAGAGACGGATCAGAAGAAAAGATCCGGGAGTGTGGGATCTGTATGATGGGACTTTGTTTATGGGAACCCAATTTGATTTCTGCTGTGCATGCACATCATCTGGACTGTATAGATGACTGATTGATGAGATTCTTCATGTGCCCCTCCTGCATGGAGCCAGTTGATGCAGCACTGCTCTCATCCTATGAGACTAATTGAGCCAGGGTCTCTCTGACTTCAAGTGAACCATCATTTTTGGTGGTTTTTAACTTTAGTCAGTGAGCGCAAAGAGCCAGGATTATGAATTAAGATCATGCACAAAAAGTTTCCTAAAAATTCCTGGATGGCTGCAGATGTTGAGGAAAGTATATATTTTAGAAACTTAGCGGGGGGAAGTAGGATGATATTTTTATGTAAAGCCTTGACCCAGTGTTTAAGAATATAATTGTATTTAGACCTTGTTATTGCTCCAGTACATAGGAATTATGTAAAGTATTAAAGCAACTGTATATGTTTAAATTGTGTGTGTGTTGAAGATTAGGAAAAAAGATAGTGGTTATTTTTCCTAAAGGAAATAACTTTCTTCTCTCCACCAAATTCTTTTCTGAAGTTAATGGCATTTGGGTCAAGGTTTTATTAAAAGCTACATTTTATAACACTGGCACACACACACAAAAATAGTTTTAAGCTTGTTTGCACAGTTCTTTTTTCCCACTGGAAATGGAATTCATTGCCTTAGGTCTTTTTAAATAGTATATTATCATTGGGACTGACTCTATGCTTGAAAACCAGTTTATTTATAACCTGTTGTAAGTGCTATATTCTGTTTGCAGTTAGGAAATGCAAAATTTTAAGTGATCTCCTAGCTTGTAAGCAAACTGAGATACACTATCCCTTTTCTATATAAAAATGAGTTAATGTGTCAATAAATCAACTCAGCAAGGTGGGTTTAACATTACCCTTTCCTATGTGTTTTATCTAATTCTTTTGGTTGTTAATATGGTGATAAATGAAAGTCAAGGTAAATTTTAAATATTAAGATTTCCGATTTATTGAGCTTGAATTATGCCACTATGCTTATGTAAAAATGAAGGTGGCACCATGGTAAAACTTAATGAGAAGTAGTTTCTCAGTTGTAATAATTTTGATTTCTCTTTCTTTTCTTTTTAAAGAGAGAGAGAGAGAGAGAGAGAGAGAATTTTTTAAATATTTATTTTTTAGTTTTTTCGGCAGGCACAACATCGTTGTTTGTATGTGGTGCTGAGGATCGAACCTGGGCCGCACGCATGCCAGACGAGCGCGCTACCTACCGCTTGAGCCACACCCCCAGCCCTGATTTCTCTTTCTTGTGATCTCTCCTTCCCTGTTGTCTTGAACCATAGCAAAAGGATTCTGCATCTCTCACTACTGTAGTGATGAGGTTACTGAAGTTATATAAACACATCTCAGTCTCTGTTTCTTTGAGAGGTTATCTGTTAAGTCCTGCTAGGTGATTGACAAGACTAAGTAGGGAGAATAAAGGTAAATGTGATTCATGTTTTGCACATAAATGCAGAATTTTATAACCACATGACTTCATAGTTGTGGTCTTAAAAAAGGAATTTCTCCTTTAATTTTTCTTGCAGTTAATGTAATACTCTAAATCTCTAAGCTTCTGAAGTGTTAGAGGTAGAGATGGTCTAGTAAAGATGTAGTATTAATGTATATCCATTTAGCATGTGTTTATTTTTCCTTATGTACTCCAGGTGATTTATCTGTTCAGCTCAGTGATATTACAGCTAAACAACATTCATTAGCAAAAGGAGAAGCAGTCTACACCTAACAGAGGAATCAGAAATGTTTCTTATTTTTGTTGAGTTGAATGTTTGACTCTAACACTTTTCTACTTACAAAACATAAGTTCCTTAAAGATTCTTCATAATTGTATTATAGAAGAATTTAGTATATCATAAGTACTTAATTTGACATCCAACTGTAGTAGCCATATGTTGATTTCCTTAAGAACACCATGATGGAAACACTCAAATGAATTTGAGAAAAATTGGAAGAAATCAGATTATCAGGTTCTGTTAAATTGTTAATGTATCTTGCTTAAATTTTGTTCGTTAATTTATATCCATCCGATTATATAAAGCAAATTTGGAGGAAACAGCTGAAGTTATGCAATATTTTCAGTGATAATTACTTTTGGTTCTTGTGTTTTCTACTTAAAACATGATGTCTATGTTATCCAGTATTATAGTCAGACCTTCTTTTCTAGATTGTCAGAATTGCTAAATGAGCTTTTTTTTTTTTTTTTTTAAATCAGTTTTATGTTGATTTTAGTCTTTCTTTATTATAAGGCTTCTTTCACAGAAGTTTGGTAATATTGAAGGCACCGGTATTGAACAGAATGATTTTGGGGGCACTTTATATCCCTTGACTTTGTTCTCCACATATCATGTTAAAATTCATCAATTGTGGCTTTTACTGAGTTGTTAAATAAAGTTATAATACAGTTGTGAAGGGCAAAAAAAAAAAAAAAAAAAGAAAGAAAGAAAGAAAAGGAAAATCTGGGTGGCTTAAAACTGTAGAGAGCATGAAGTGATAAACCCTAGAAATTGGGGCTGGGGTTGTAGCTCAGGTACAGCGCTCGCCCAGCACATGTGAGGCCCTGGGTTGGATCCTCAGCACCACATAAAAATAAAGAAAGACAAAGAAAAACAGACAGAGAGAGAGAGAGACAGAGAGAGAGAGAGAGAGAGAGAGAAAGGCCTTGTGTCCAAATACACCTAAAAAAAAATATTAAAAAAAAGAACTCTAGAAATAATTTTCCAGAATGACTCATCCCCAACAGTTCAAAGAAACAGGTTTTATCATGTAATTAGATTGTGCGATGTATGCGCCTTTTCTGTTTGTTTCTTTCTTCTTAATGTAGAGATAGAAGAGTGTTCATGGACCAGAGAATCGCTCTACTAAAACCATCTTATCTTAAAACAAACTGCCCTTTTCTTACCTCAACAGTCTTCTGGTATGATCATAATTTAGAAAGGAACATTCTATACCTAAATGTCCAAAATAATTTCAAACATTCAAAGTCACAAAACATTTTATGTTTGAAATCTAAACATAGAATCAGTGCCTATCAAATTACAGACTTCAATTTAAAAACCATAATAAGTGCTGTGTAGTTGCTCACTGCTGTCAAGACTACTGCCTTAGCACAGCATTTCCAATGGAACTCTCACAGTAATATATAGAAATGGATTTAGCACCCTAGGACAGGGAAAAATTACACTTAAAAGTTATATTTACCTGATCATTAAGTTCATATTTTTTAGTTACTTTTCATGTATTTTAGAAGAAAAGTCCTCCCAAGCCAAAATACACAATTGACTACACCCAGTTCTAAAAAAACAAGTCAAAAAAAAAAAAAAAAAGAATTAGCCAGTAAACATGTAGAGATAATTTTTTCTTTTTTTTTTTTAGTGCTTGGAAGGGAACTTAGGGCCTCGCCCATGCTAGGCAAGGACTCAACTACTTAGCTAGATCCCTAGTACTTTTTTTAAGCTGTAAAACAGGGTTCTCAATAAGCTGACCATGCTGGCCTCAAACTAGCAATCCTGCCTCAGTCTCCTAAGTAGCTGGCATTTCAGAAATGTTTTTGCTAAATTCATGCTTTTGCACAAGCATGGTCAGTGTCCTTTATTCCTGGCATGGGGTAAAAAAAACAGGACAGGGGATTAAGAGAGGTCTTGAACTTGGGTTGGCATAATTATTTGGTTTAAAATTAATTCTGAATGAGATGCAAAAAGGAATTTTTTTCTAAGTTATTTATTTGTTACTTAATTATCTATCTTACCTGTTTTAAGTGGCCTATTTTGAATTATCCATGCCTCTATACCTTTGTTATTTGGATAAAAAGTCGACTTCTTATAAAACTGAACTCTGAAAATAAGGCTGCGAAATTTACTTCTTTGAATACATACTTTAGAAGCTATTTACTAAAAGTCAAATGTGACACTATTCCTCTTTGACTGAAATCCTAAAGTAGTTTCCACAAAGTCTAAGGGTTATAATAATAAACCATGCTCATGCATATGGCTCTCTCCTGCTCCAGGTTTATTGAAGAACTGCTGGACTGGGTATACATGTATATGCTGTGTGTGTCTATGTGAAATACACACATACATATCCTGGTACACAGAATAATGGTTTTCAACCTTGCATCTAGCTATCTTATTTATTCTAATTAGAACATTTCCCCATTCACCTGGCTGTTAATTATCATTTGTCACATTCTTCAGGAAGACTTTCCAGTATGTTAAAACCTTGGAATGCTAGGTGGGAAAGAACAAAAAAGGGGGATAAACAAGGAGGTGGGGCTAACAGTGAGTGAAGAGATATATACAGATATCCAAGTGTTGGTTTAATTATAATTATTTATGGAAAAACAAAATGTGTATATATACACAATGGAGTTTTATTCAACCACAAAGAAGATGAAATTATGTAATTTGCAGGAAAATGGATGGAATTTTGAAAACATTAGGTTAAGTGAAATAAGCCAAACTCAAAGTCAAGGGTCATGTGTTTTCTCTCATATGTGGAAGCTAGAGAGGACAAAGAAAGGTGGTGGTGGTGAAGATCATGAAAATTGAAGGGAGATCAGTAAAGGAAAGAGACCAGGGGAGGGAGGAGGAAAGGGAAGGGGAAAATAATGGGTAATACTGACCAAATTATATTGCTATGTTGTATGAATGCATAAATATATATCAACAAATCCCACAATTATGTACAGCTACAACACACAACTAAAAATATGAAAAAAAGAAACCTCAAAAAATTATATTTTATACATACATAACTTGTACATTATATATACAATTTTTACACACGTATTACAAAAAAATGTTTTCTTAAAGAAATGAGAAATTTGTTAGTGAAAAGTTGATTAAAAATCAAAACTTAAAAAAAAAATAGATAAAATCTTAAAAGGATTTAATACTTCCAGAGTGTGACAACTGGGTTGTGATTGTCCTTGTTCTTCAGAAGTATGTTAATGTATTTACAGATGAGGTGAAAAACATGCCTGTAATTCTCCAACAGCTCAAGAAAAAAAGGATATATGGCAAAATGTTAACAAGTAATGAATCTTTTTTTTAAATATTTTTTTTTAGCTGCAGATGAACACAGTATCTTTACGTATTTATTTTTATGTGGTACTGAGGATTGAACCCAGTGCCTCATACATGCAAGGCAAAGGCTCTACCACTGAGCCCCAGCCTCAGTAATGGATTTTTATAAGAAGTGTTAATAACATTCGCAGCTTTTCTTTAAGTCTGAAACTTTTCAAAATACAAAATCAGGTACCAGATATTCCCAAAAAAGAAATTCTAGAAAGAAGAACCAATGTATGGAGATGCAATGAAGAAAAAAGATTGTACAAGGGTTAGAAATATATCTGTGCTCTAGCTTTTACTTATTTAAAAGAAACTGTTGCCCCCAAGATTAAAGATCTTCTTGTCAATAACCAACAGACGCTTTTTTGATTTTATCTGACTGCCTTTATTCTTCTTCCATGACTCACCTCTTCATGTAGTTGTATCCACAAGGTTCTATCTATAGTGTTCTCTTCTTTTTTTTTTTAATATATTTTTAATTGTAGATGGACACAATACCTTTATTATTTATTTATTTACTTTTATGTGATGCTGAGGATCAAACCCAGTGCCTCACACATTGGAGGCAAGCTGCACTGAGCCACAACCCCAACTCCTATAGTGTTCTCTTCTTGAGTTATTCAACTCCCATGAGTATATGTTAATATTTACTGTCACGACTTCCAAATCTTTAATACCACTCCCCTAAGAGAGACACACTTATTTTATTCCATACATGTCCAGACCAAACTCATGACCTGCCCTTCATCCCAAATTTGCTTTTGTTTCTAGCTATACTTCCTCAGTGACTAGCTAAAAACCTAAACTTTGCCCAGCATCTAAATTTCCCTCTGAATCAAGGTTCTTTACAATTTTAATGCCCAGAATCTAGTAGGCAGAATTTTGGCTTCCAAGACATTCATTTCCTAGTGTCATGACTGTAAATATGTTTTAAATGTCAGAAAGGACTTTGGGAATGCAATTAAATTTACTAATCAATTGACAATAATATAGGGAGATTATCCTGTTATCTGGGTGGCCCAAAATAATCACATGAGCTTTTAAAAGCCGAGAATTTGGGGCTGCGCTTGTGGCTCAGCGGTAGAGTACTTTTCTCGCACGCACAAGACCCTGAGTTGGATTCTCGGCACCACATTAAAAAAATAATAAAGGTATTGTGTCCAAATATAACTAAAAAATAAATATAAAAAAAGCAGAGAATTCTCTGGCTATAGAAGGAAGCAAAAGGGGAAATCAAGAGTCTGCGAAGGACGATTCATGTGTCACTGTCAGTTTGGAAGAAGGGGGTTACACGTCTAGTCAACATGGACTTCAAAAGCAAAGACACGTCTGTGAAATTCCAAGGTGCTACAGGTGAAGGGGGTTACACGTCAAGTCAACATGGACTTCAAAAGCAATACTTAAGACACGTCTGTCTGTGAAATTCCAAGGTGCTACAGGTGTCCAAATAAAAGAAATTCCTTCCAGGACCCCCAAAAGTAAGTCAGGTGCCTCTGGATCTAATCCCAGCGTGCGTGGGGTTGAGGATGTTCCTCTTCCCATCCACACCTAGAGAAGAAAATCTATACTCCTTAACCAAACTTTCAAAATCCCCTACAATTTGCTCTGAGCTTACATATCTTATGCAGGGCAACATCCTTCTCACAAGTTCTTTCACAAAGACAAGCAAACTGAAAGTCTAACTCAGAATTCGAAAACTCAAAACCTTAACCGTGATCATGAACTAATGACAACGCACGCTCCAGGTCTCCAGTAGACAGGCGGGTAGAAAAGCACAAACCGTGGGAAATTCCATCTGGAGAATGGAGAAAGAAAGGCTCCATCCAGGGGAGGGCACCGTGGAATAATAGAGTCTTCCTGAGGACGCACAGCACGCGCTCTGCTCCCGGCAGCCCCAAGGTCGCATATCGCCTCGCTCCTCTGCACTGCCTGCGCCAGAGGCCATCGCTGGTGAAAAGGGACCCTACCTCTCCGCGATGTAAAGAGTGCCGATACCGAGGCCCTTTCCGTTCAGCACAGCCTCTGTATCTGGCTGCTGTTGCCGAAGCCCCTCATCCTGTCCCGGCGGCGGGAAACTCTTTAGGAAGCTCATTGTACCCGGGAGCATCGAAACAGGTTCTCAGAAAGCTAAGACACAGCAATACCCGCTCGCTGCAACACGCCCCGGAAGCGGTGGCAAGCAACCCAGAAGAACAACTTCGCCTGCACCGGAATTTGAGCGCCCTCGACCATAGAGATGAGACGCTCTAGGCAAAGCGCTCGCAGTTCTTTGACGCCCGGATTTGTCACGTGACACTACTCCCCCTCTCTCCCTTTCTAAGGTCCTAGACTTGGAATAATTGAACTTTCTCTAGCACATCCTACTTCAAGGTCGTCACAGCAGCTCTGTGAGACGAAGTACAAGGAATATTATTATGCCTTTTTCTACAAAAGCGGAAACGGGCCTGAGACCTGAAGTCACCTCCTGAGGATGCACAGGAAATAGAGACCACAATCATCTAGAGGTCAGAAATCTAGCTGGGTTCTTCTCATCTGCTCCCGCCTCACCGAACCTGTTCACATGTCAGTTTTACACAGCCACGCAACAGACATCAGTCTAGGTCCTGACATCGCCCTAGCGCAGGAGCTACCTATTCCCACCTGTCAGGCGGGCACCAGCACAAAGAGGTAATTAACGCGTGGCTTAGAGCTAGGCAGTAAGGAGATGGGGCGCTGAAGGGGAAAGAATCCCTCAGATCTGGAACTCTTGATTTGCTTTTTCGTTAGATCCTAACAGAAAAGTAAAGAGAGCAGCGAAAAATAGTTGTAATAGTGGCTGAAGTAACGGAGTGTTGTATGCCACACACTGCTAGGCACGTTACTTGCATTATTCTTAATTCTGTATGACAAATATATGAAGAAATTTTCTATTATCGACCCAGTTTTACAGATGAGACATAAGGGATTAAATTCAAGAGCAAAAGTGTGTCATGAGGGACCTGGTCCTGTAGGTTCCACTTTTCTTGCTTATCAAATTAGGATGATGATACCTATGCAGTAAGACTGTTGGGCCTGGAGGACCGGACGTGTAGGGTAGTTTTATTTGTATCTTCCCAAGAGTTTCGCGGAATGTAGATTTTTTAAACTGGATTAGTTTGTTGGTAGCAAGACTCGGGGCGGGGCACACTACACAGAAAGAGAGGAGTCTTTCTTTGCCCTACTATAGGCAACACTGGCAGTAAGAATTCCACAGCTATCTAAAGGAGTCCCTTAAAATTTGGAGATAGATCGTGGGGAAGATGGTTGTGAAGGTGAAGATCAGGTTGCATGAAGAAGAGAGAAACGTTACATCTTATTTCTAAATTTCCAGTTTAAGAGTATGAGTGGATGCTGACTCAGTTCCCCAAGGTGACTTCAGGAGGAGAAAGAGGTTTTGAAAATAGCTTGTAAATCTAACTTGAGAAGTGACCAGATTGAAGTTGCACATAGGACATTTATTTGTGACTGGCTATTTGATTGAATAACCAATGCTATGCTCAGAAATGGAATTCCCTATATAATACAGGAAAAAATTGGCTGAAACAAGTATAATATTTTCATACTAATTTGACCTAGTTTTCACAGTGTCATTTAAAATAAGTCACTGCCCAAGTGCATCACTTGGATAAAATGCCTATTTTAACCAAGGTTATAACTGATAAAAACTTAAGAAAGGGATCTTAGCTATGACAAGGAGCTTTCTGTTTTTTTTCCAGAGATCAATCCTAGGGCTATGAGCATGCTAGGCTAGTGCTCTACCACTGAGCTACATCCCAAGCCAGGAGAAAGAGCCCTTCCTGCACCCATTACAGTGCCAGGTTCAGAGGAGGCTTTTATGAAAATACATTTAAAAGCAAACTGAAGCATATCACCAAGAATTGGAAGAGGCGAATTTGTACTTTCTGCCTTTTATGTAAATTCCTGTGAATAACTTAAGCAGTAGGCAGTTAACACATTATTCTTATATTTATGCAGAGTTTTGCTTTTTAAATGAAGGCTTTTCTCACCCATTAGTTCCTTTGAACTTTATAGTAATTCTGTGGGGTAGGCAGGGTAGCTATAATTATGCACACTTTACATATAAAACTGAAGATCAGAAGATTCAAGTGATTTGCTGAAGAATATCCATGGGGCTGGGGTTGTGGCTCAGTGGTAGAGCTCTTGCTTAGCATGCAATATTCTCAGCACTACATACAAATAAATAAAGGTTCATTGGCAACTAAAAATATTTTAAAATAATACTAGTTCCCAATACTAGTAATTAGACTCCTGCCTTTTTATTCCAAGTCCAGCATTTTCAGTGTAAACTACCACCTCTTGAACTAGTTGACAGAGATTGATTTTACTGTTTTTTTTTTTTCTTTTTTTTTTTTTGTGGTGCTGAGGATCGAACCCAGGGCCTTGTGCATGCAAGGTAAACACACTACCAACCGAGCTATATCCCTAACCCATAAAGATTTCAGACTTTTAGTAGTAAGAGTTATGTGTGCAGCTGGGTGCGGTAGTGGATGCCTATAATCCCAGCGGCTTGGAAGGCTGAGACAGAGGATGTGGCTTAGTGGTCAAGTGTCCCTGAGTTTATTCCCTGGTACTAAAAAAAAAAAAAAAAAAATGTATCCAATAAATCCATTCTTATTAGATCAAAATTATTATTAGAACTTTGACACAAGTTCTAGTGAGGTTCTGTCATTGTTAATCAAGTTCTTCAAGTTTTTGGCTCCAAATGGAAAAATATAAGCTATCTATAGTGTGTGAGATCATAGTGCAATTACTGGTATCCTGTTTGTAAGTAAAGATGTCAACAAGCAACAAAATAGACATTCAACAGAAAAACATGAAATAATTGCCAGAGGAAGGGAGGAATAGCCACCCTCCCCCCACATTGTAAGTTTCAGTTTTCTGTAACAATTGTTCCTAATGATAGAGTTCAGATATTATTGGCCAGAAGCCTACTGGTTTCCTGGAGTTTCTCTTAGGAATTTGTGACATTTCAATGAGACTTTCCAAATAGTTTAATATTTCTAGTCTGTCAGTTTTAAAGACTGGAAGTCAAGCTAGAAATAATTTGGAGAGAGATTGAACCAATGATGGTATCAAACTTTTTTTTCCTTGATGGGGAGAGCTTTCTATAAAGAGGGTGAATGTAAAAGGATGGAGATCGAAGACAGAGATAATTGAGAAGTGAAAGACTCAAAGGAGGCAAGAGGAAAGCTATCAGATCAAGGAAGCAGACAAAGGGGTTGCTACAAAAAGTGTCTCCTCCTTAGAGACTGGCTAGGTATGATGGGTGCTTCATACATGGGTACAGTGGCTCTGAAACAGGCAAGAGACATAATAAGGAAGTGATAGGTGGCCTATACTATGAACTAGTAGATTCCTAGTTAACTTTTCCTTTGGGATGTGACTGTGTGTGCTAAACTAATGTTTCATGTACCAGCTCACATCCTTTTAAGAGTGTCCTTTCTCTTTGATTTTCATTTAGACTTATATGACCTGAAAAGAGTTCATGTAGTCATTGAAGAATCAAAATGACAAAAACATTCATCTCATCAGAAGGGTGCCAACATTTCATTAAAATAGTCTCATTATTTATTATAATTCCACCTCTACTAAATGATCACCAATTCTTAGTTTTTAAAAGAACTCTTATTTATTATTTGTTCTCAGAATCTAAGAGCTGTGGGGTGGCAGCTATGTTCTAGGCCCCATTCTCAGCTCAAAAGACTCCTTTGAACTCTTTTGTTATTGTTGTTGGACACGATACCTTTATTTTATTTATTTATTTTTATGTGGTGCTGACGATGCAACCCAGTGCCCTGCAGGCGCTAGACAAGCGCTCTACCACTGAGCCACAACCCAGCCTGCTTTGAACTCTCTTGAGGGTGCCATGGCACTGTCACCTTTGGCTTCCAACATGATGTTACCTCTGCTTGACATTTTTTTAAGTGAAAATTTCACGTAAATCATTGAGAAGCATTACAACTGGCCATACTCTTTGTCAGTGTATATCAGCTTTCACTCCATTAAGTGAAATTCTGATTCAAAAGCTTTTTACTTAAATCATTGATCAATATTTTCAATCAAAATTGGAAATAGTGATGACATCTGCTAGTTTGTTGGTAAACAAATGACTTTAGTTTTTTTGAGGGGAGGTACTAGGGATTGAACTAGGGACACTATACCACTATACCAATAGGGCCACATCCCCAGCCCTATTTTGTATTTTATTTAGAGACAGGGTCTCACTGAGTTGCTTTGTGCTTCGCTTTTGCTGAGGCTGGTTTTGAACTCACAACCCTCCTGCCTCAGCCTCCTGAGGTGCTGGGATTACAGGTGTGTACCACTTCCCTACAAACCACCTCAATTTGAATTTTGTATTCCAAAAGTAAGAGAAAACTATCAGATCAAAATTTACAGATGAGAATCATTCTCAAGGTTGGAAGGCCCATTAAAGTCATCTGGTCTGATTCTTTTTTGAATGTATCAATCTATAATATTCCTGCCAAATAGCAGGTGAGTCAGCCTATACTTAAAACATCCCGTTCCCACAAATTTACTCCCAAAGTTGTTTAATAAAAGAACTAAATTACCTCCTGCCCCACAAATGAACTGAAAATGTTTGCCCAGCTGCTGTGCTCTAGTTTAGTTCCTTGCTCCTAAGGCAGAACAAGTCCATGGCCTCTTTAATGTATCAGTTCACCAGAGGCCAAGATAGAAACCAGTAGTTTTCTTGTATCTGTATTTACCTGGATGAAAAATAGTCAAAAATTATTTTGGGGAAACTGATGAACTTGTAAATTTACTTTCTAGATAATGAAAGAATAATCTATTACTGGCTGACAAAAATATTTTAACCTTCATGAAGCTATTACAGAAAATTCTTAGCTTTCCACATGCCACAAAATAGACTGTTTGTAAACACAACATGTTAAGTACATCAAATTATTTAAATTTTTTATTATGACAATTGACATATATTAAGTGAAAGAAATGACAGAAGTATTATAATAATAAAACATTATGAAAGAAAAAAATTACACAATTAGGCCAGTAGCTATAAAATGGCTTTAGGCCTGGCTTATAACACTAAGAGTTCTGATCAGACTGTAGTGAGACATGAACATTTCATTAACAAAAATATTGGCATCAGCCACAACATTTTGGTTGTCACAAGGAATATTGTATTTGAACAACTATGCACTGCAATTCTAACACACTAGGTGTTCATACACTGCAGTTAACTTCTGAAGCATTAAGCTATCAGGATTCCCATACTTTTTATGCACAGAATTTACTTTGTGTTATCAGAATCACGTTTCCAGTTTTCAGATCTCTTCCCCCCTCCCTCACACATGCAGTACATTATTATGTGACAAAGCACTTCATCTTCTATTTGACTAACATCACGGTTCTAATTACCTCAAGAGTTAGATTTATGCTAATCTTGGAGCTTCTGCTTTAGCTCTCATCTAGAAACAAAATATTCTGAGAACCTATTCCAGAAATAAGTTTTTATGCATAGGAAAATAAAGCATTTCATATTTAAGCATGTCTGAAAATCCAAGAGGCGTTCTGACCAAACACTTCCTGAATCCCACTTCCTACTTTAAAATTAAAGTGAAATTCTAAAATAGACAATTTATAAATTCTTATCTGGAATTGTATTCCTCACATGGAAATTCATGGTCCCCAGTGTTCTGAATGGATAAGGATAGCAAAGAAACTGACTTCCCACATTAGCTAACAATAGATGAAGGTAGCTTAAAAATTAGGACACATTTAGATTATTTTAATTCTTTACAAGAATGCAGTTGTGCTACAAAGATGAGTAATTATAATGGTAAAATTATATGGCAGAAAGTACGGGCATTTTAAAAAGGTGTCAGTAAAACATGGTAAAATGTGCCATGTAAAAAGACTGTGCTAAAAGCAGCAGTTCTACAAGATTTCAAAAATACTTACCAAAAAAAGGAGAGAATTGAAATTTGAATCTTAATTTCCCCTCCTGCCATGATTCAGCAAATATTTCTGTGAAATTAAGTCTATTGAATACCAAATTGAGCAATTCTAGTTTTTCCTTCTTTACAGAGAAAAGAAATCAAGCCTTACCCCTCCACCCCCATCTGAGAGCAAAATATTCCCCTTTCAAAGTGTACATAAAACCTCATGGCAGTTTTGGGCAAGCTATTATTCAGATACAATGATCAAGAAGCTACTTTTGATAAAAGAACAAAACACCAGACCGACATTGAGAATACCCTAGTAGGCATCACAGAAATCATGCACTGAAACAATATGCTGTTAACTGCCAAATTTGGGCTGTTTATACCTGTTCTGATCCTGAAAATTCATTTACACTAATATTAACTAGATCTTTGTGTATATGTATGTGTCTACATGTACGTATGGGTATAATTTTCATGCAACGATCTTAAAGCTTTGGAGACAGTGGTTTTAATTTAATTTCAAGGTTTGTCCATAATAGCAGTATTGACATGCATCAACTCTGCTAATGGGCAGTAGAATGAAAAAGACCATGGCACAAATTTTTAAACAATCTGAGGTTTAATTACATAATGCACCTGTAGATGTTCTAGCATAAACACAATTTTAAAAATCTACATCCTATTTTAGGGTATTTTCCCACCTCCCATCCCTTAAAAGCTGTACAATTATAAAAAAATGTGACTCTCAAGCAAAATAAACTTTTTTGTTTGTTTGTTTTTTGCAACATACAAAATAAGTTAAACGATTCAGAAGGTCTTGATCCATTAAGTTCCCCAATGACTGTGTTCTGGTTGTCCATAAACATGACATGCAGGTTCCTGGTATCTGACCAGAACTCAATAAATACAGATCAAACAAAACTCCAAAACACTTAAATTAGATTCCTTTAGAAGCTGATGAAAGTCAAGAAAATAAAAAGTCAGGATTAACAATTCCATTCTTAACTTACATCATCCAGTGGCAAAAAGAAGGCAGGTTATTCAGTCCTTAGCATTTTCTCTAGCTTGTACCAGTTTGGCAAAAATACAAATGTAGTTCCTTTTAAAAATGTTTCATTCCAAATGTCTAAGGTGTTTAATAAATTCTTACTCATTTAATAATTTGTTGTACCCTCTCTCATATAACTTATGTAAAGGATAGACTCATCTTAAAAGTTATTATAATAAAAATAACATTTTCAATAATTGAAACCACTATACTGTGCCAGAATTGGGTTTACAGTATTTCCCAGAGCAAAGTGGTATAAATATGAAATAAAATAAACAAACAAACAAAAAAACCCAAGAGCTTACATGACCAAGATGAGGAAAAAAGTTCATTCTTTTAGGGGATCCTATTTTAATCAACTTCTGAGAGGGTTTGGATGTATGAAATAAATGTTGGGTTTACAATCTGAAGTAGCTATATATGAAGCCTTCTACATTTTGGCTTATGACTTACTTGGAAATGACTCTATCTTCAATATGTTACACAGTTACTTAGCAATTCTTGGCACTTAAAATGTTAAATAATTTTAAGTTGAAGTGAAATATTTTGAAAACAAATCATTTAAGTGAACACAAAACAACCCATTTTAAATACATTGATAACGAAAGACTTTATCTTTTATAGAATTGGTATAGAAACAACTAAAAAAAAAAAATCCAGCAGTTAGCTTGCCACTTCCAAGGTAGGTTTACACGTACACACTGAGAATAGGAATGGATTTTTTTCAAAGAGTTTCATAATGGATTATACTAAGCAGATGAGGACTAGGTAGGTTACAGCAGATATGCAGTGTTGGCATTCTCTGCTTCTTGGGGACCCAGGAATATATTTTGAGACTGTCAAACCAATAAGAGAAACTATTTTTCTCTAGACTATCTGTAATTAAATGATGTTCATAATTTGATATCAGTTACAATGCCATTATTTGCCTTATTTCTCTTTGTAAGTCAATGATGGATACATTAATACTTACCCAAAGTGTTTGTGTGTATATAGAACATGTGTGTATGTGATGTATACATACACATTCAATTTGAAAAAATATCTGGGTCTGAATACTGTTTTCTAAACCTGTAAAACAACATCTTGAATTATGGTCTTGCTCCACTGTGTTGTAAAGAATGGAGTTCACAGTTTTTTCTGAGCACTGAACTTAGAGATTCATTAGATTCTTTACATTTATATGGTAGAACAAAATAGTTCTACCACAGAGGGGAATGGTCAGCATCCCTTATGACCACAAATAGAAGCTATCCAGGCATTCTTTGTGACAAAGGAAATTCCATCAGCCCCACTTAAAAATAACATACAATTCTTATCATTTTGACTCTCAATTTAAACAAGTAAACGTCCACATTTTTCTTAATGTATATTACAGAATGGGCAGGGCACCGTGGCGCATGCCTGTAATCCCAGCGGCTTGGGAGCCTGAGACAGGAGGATCAAGAGTTCAAAGCCAGCCTCAGCAAAAGCAAAGCACTAAGCAATTCAGTGAGATCCTGTCTCTAAATAAAATACAAAATAGCCTGGGAATGTGGCTCAGTGTTCAAGTGCCTCTTGAGTTCAATTCCTGGTACCCCCCCAAAAAAAATGTATATGATAAAATGGGCTATCCTCCAAACAGTGAAATCTGGATATGTGTAATAGTCTTTAAAATTAATGTGTTTAAAAAATGTTTTTTTCAACAACTTCATTACCATTTCAACTTTTTGGTTTTGTGGCAGATCACTTTTTTAAAAAGGAGATTACCAATAACTTGAATTTGTTCTCAATGAAAATGGGTATCAAGGAAATCCAGCCTTATCTTGTATTCTCTTTAAAATATCTGCCATCATTTTCCAGTAATGGGCCAACAATGGACATTGTTTTTATACCAAACACTATTTTATCAGCATAAATGTTGCCCAAACCAGACTCTGTCCTCTTCATACAATATTCAACTCAAAGCTTCTACACTATGAAAATTTGCAGAAATTGTAGTAAACCTTCTGAATTCGAAACTAGTCTTAATACATTTGCCATAGACCAGTTTGATAATGGGAGCCCAAGTTGTATTTCAAAAAAGTTGGGGGCTTAAATTATTAAAGGGCTTATGATACAGCAGCTATTGTGAATCTAATCCATGGATGGCACTTTAAGAATGATCCAAGAGAGTCTATACTATAAAAATTACTGCTTTCCTTTATTTTCTCCAGTTACAAATGACTATATTGTGTTTTTTACAAAACACTTTTTCCTAGAATTTTTAAGAAACTTCTTCAGAATATCTTTATTGTAAGTATTTCTGAGGAGCTGAATCTAAACATGAAGCAAGGCTGGGAAGTTACAGCTTAGTGGTGGAAGCACAAATGTCTACCATGAGTGAGGCCCTGGGTTTAATCCTCAGTACTAAAAAAACAAAAAAACAAAAACCCAAAGCCAAGCAGCAGAACTGTTCAAAATTTAATCATCTATAATCAGTCTGCAGAGTAATAATTTGTGTTTATTAGCTGCCTGGATTATATTCTTGGTAAATGAACTATAATTAATCAAAATATAAGATTAGAAGGGAGATACTCAGTATCAAGTTGACACAGTTATTCAAGTTTGATAAATATCAGGCAGCACAAGTGGTTTCATAACCTATGTCAGTGGGACATTTGCTAAGTGGAATACTCAGTCTTTAGTATAAAAATTATCTTGGGCTTTATATAATGCAAGGGTAAAAAAAACTCCTTATTTCACAATAGACATCCTGTTAAATTATCTACCCATTAATACTACTGATCAGCTGTGCGTAACTGAGGAATAGAACTAATAGGTAGAAGGAGGAGCTGTTGTGTCCAGAGGTAGAGATAGGGCACAAGGGAGAGTTTCTATATCATAGTGGCTTTACCTGGCTGCAGGACTAAAACAGTAGGTGACTGAGTGGCAGAAAAGGCCACCTATATATATGTCAAACCACTTACCTTGCACCACTAGTAGGAATCTTCCTGCCTGCCTGTTTTAGAAAGTTAAAAAGATTAAGCTTGTTAGCTAACTTTCAAATAAATAAAGCAAACCTAGCTAGAAAGAAGGTTTTGCAAGTGAGTGTGGCTCCATTCTAGCCCTGCTTCACTGCCTGGGAATGCAAGCCCTTCCCTCCCTTCCAGTGGAACAAGTGTATCAAAATAAAATCACAATTTACTTGGAACCACATGCTATTGTTGCATCCTATTTTTAGGCTGCTTTCATTATTTTATTTTTTATACGGTTACATATACATTACTAGAATCAAGGCAAAAATATTAATGGGCAGCTACTACAGAACTAAGGTGAAACAAAAACTCAACTGAAAAGCAACAGCTATAAACTTTCAAGGCCAAAAGATTTAAGGGTAACACCTGTTGTGGGAGGAAAAGTAGAAGTCAAAGTTTCTAGAGAGGTATTTGTAATGCAAGTCTATGCCAGCTTTTAGTAATTAAAAAAAAAAAAAAAAGAAGTGCTTTACTATACACTGACTAGCACATATAGTGCATAACTTGGAAAGAAAACTGAAGTTCTGTGGGCCAGCAGCAGATATGATGTGTCCATTGCCGGCAACAGACACAACACTGGAACAGAAAAACCCAAATCCCAGGGCAAAAGTACTCACAGAAGTACTGATTGAAGGTTTCAGAATGTGATAGCAAAGTTTAATCACAAATGCTACATTCTGTACAATGTTAGGGCTCTGCCTGAAAATTTACAGCTGTAACAGAGACTAAGATAAAATTCATATTTTAGTGTCAATTATGTTATTTAGTTAAACACTGCCTTTTCTTGAAACAAAGGGCTTGTCTTTCTTTAGAAAGTATTGAGATGTTTAAAATGGATATCATGCCTAATCGGTATATCGGCGGTTCTCAATCAACTCTATGTTGGCTGTGTGCCTATTAATGAATTTTAATAGAAGTCTAATGGCCAAAGGCCAAAACTACATTCAAACCTGCTAATATATCCAGGCAGATAGGAAATCCAACACACACACAGGTGGATGCACATACACACACACACACATACACACTCACACATATACACACACCAAAACTCAAAAACCTCCCAAAGGAACTGCTTTGTTTGTAGACTTCAATTTGAAGTAGATACTAAGGGCAAGAATAGACCAGTTAAAATTCACCTGAAAATCCTTTCCCACTCTTCAGATGTGCTAAAATACCATTGTCAGCTTAGCATCTCTTCACATGTGTTACATATAGATATATTTTTTTCAAAATGATGTTTCAGATATTTAAAACATCAAGTGGCCAGAGGGCAGGAGTTATATTATTGGCAAAGTTTATAGTCCAGCTGGGTCTTAGGAAAGACCACATTTATTTTACTAAATCTCCTCGAGACAGAGGCCACCTTGTTACCAATGGATAAAGCTATTTTTTAAAAAATCTGTTGCTAGCACAATCTGGTTGTCAAAGCTTCATTATACATTTTACTGTGCAAATGCTTTTCAGATGAGTTTTCTTTTTTAAACAAGAAACTCCGCTTTAACAGAAAGTTAGGGTTATTTATTATTTTTTTTTAAATGATGGTACTTTCACGGTCTCTTCTTTATTTAAAGTGTGGTAACTCCAATAGTAAACAAGTTGATTTTTACGAAGGCTATTACTAAATGATTCATGTATGACATTATCTATATTTCTCAAACTGCAACAGTACAGAGTTGAACTTTTAAAAGGTATGTTAATCATCATCTATGCCATGTATGTTTAAATATAATATATATTTAATATGAAAAGCTAAAGCACAAGTGCTTTCTCCCACCCCTAAATTCTGTTTTGGGCCCTTATAGATTTGGAATGCATTCTTATCCACTCTTTTCACAAAGTTAGGAGAGCTCAGGAAATATAAAGGCAAAAATATACAAATCTTTGTTGTTATTATAATAAGATTTTTTTCCATGAATGAAATTACCAAGGACCATGAACTTGGAAAAAGAAAATAAAAAGAAATTTACAGCAATTATTTATCTTCAAAGTTCATATCTGGTCACTTCACAGAAAAACTTCAGGGTATGATGAAATTTTTTTCTTCTAAAAAGTCAATCTGTAGTGGAGTTTTCTAGGAAAAATTAAACAGCTTTTAATAACTGGCCCGCTGGTGTGAGAGCTACCGTGGAATAAATTAGCACAAAAATGGAAAAAAAAAAAAAAAAAGTCTTATAACTGTTCACTGTTACAGACATAATCAACAAGGTCAGTCACTCTCAAAAGCTCATCTTCTTCCTCCTCTGGTGCCCCTGCCTCTTGCCCACCACTCGTCCCATTGGGGGCTAGGCTTGCACTGGCTGTGCTGCTGTCCTTGGGGGTCTGAGGTTTCTCAGCTGGCTTGCCAATCAAGTTCTCAATGGCTTTGCCAGGACTCTGTCCATTAGTGGAAGGTAAGTCCACTAAACTATAGTCCAATGGGCTCCCCACTTTGCCTACATTTTCAAAGTCCTCTTCCTCATCGCTTTCTATCCGGTAGGGCTTCTTGGTGCTCTCCTGCTCTGAGGGCAGGACCCTGGGCTGACCGTCATGGGCACGCTGATCTGAATCTCCATGAGTGTTGTCACAGCTCTCCTCGTCTGTCTCAATCCGATGTAGTCGTTTGCGGGATGGTTTGCCTTCCTCTTCCTCCTCCTCATCTGCTTCTGAATACTCATCTGTGCTTCGGCCACGCTTTCGAACTGACCGCTTTGATTCTTTAGCTAGCTCATCATCTTCCGAGTTCTTGGACATATAGCTCTCTAGAATAAATAGCACATTCAAGCTATTGGCATAGTTTAACCATAAACAGATTTAAGTACTTCTTTCCTCCCCGTGTCCTGATTTCAGACTTGCTAATATATAAATATTTCTCTTCAACCAATGGCCTGATTTTTCTCTCAGTCCTATAACAATGCCCAATGAGATTCATAATGAACTTTATGTACAAATTTTTAGGAAAGAACAGATTTCCTGGGGAAGAAATCTAATAATCCTTGAATCTAACCTATCCTATGAAGATAAGATGACAACAAACTAGGAAACCCCTTTCTACTAGTCCTAAAATTAGGGGATCATATAAACATACTGATAAGGAAAGATTAAAATTGGACCCCCAACTCTATATCTGCAATACTATGTCAGCTCTCATATTATTAAGTGCCCTTGGTAATCTCTAAATCTCTTCTTTGCCTATAATTATATCATAAGTAATCTCATCTATTTTCATGGCTTTGCATATACCATTTATATGTTGATAACTCTTACTTGTTTTAGGCAGTCACTAAATTCCAGACTCATGTATCAAATGCCTCCAACATCTATCCTTGGATATCTAAACAAGGCATCTCAAACCTGATGTGCACAAAATTTGAGTTCTTAAACTTCTTGTTCTGTGGTCTCATTACAGTTTTTGGTAATTCTGTTCTTTAAATTGCTTAGTCATGCTTAATCTCTTTCTCTCTCTTATCCTCCCATTGGTAAATTCTTTGGATCTACTTTCAAAACATAGTGATAACTTTATAACTTTTCACCCCTTTACTGCTATTGTCTTAGTCCTACCCATCATCATATTTCACTTGCACTGTTTCACTAATCTCCTAACTGGTTTCCTAATTTTTGCCCTTGCTTCTTCAATTTTTCATTACAAAGCTACCATAGTAAATTAAAACCTAAGCCAGAACATATTATTCCTTTGCTTGGAATTCTCCAATTGCTTCTCATCTTAAATAAAAGCCAGTCTGTATAGTGTGGAGTACTCCATGCTAACCAACATGGTAGAAAATAATCCCAAGTAGTTACATTAAATTTAAATTAATTAAAATTAAGCAAAAATTCAGGTCCAAGGTCACACTAGCCACATTTCAAGTGCTGAATAACCACATGGGACTAGTATTGTACGTACTTTGGTTTGAAACTATTCTGGTGTTTGGGACATAGGAAGATATTTTAGAATGAAGTACATGAATAATGGGCAGAATAAATTACAAAGCATATCACAGTTTTCTGCAACTATACTAGTTTTTTTTTTTCAAATATATAAATGTTTTATGACTTGGTAGCATTTTACACATTTGTAAATTCACCACAGATCAAGAAATAGGACATTCCCAGTATTTGGCAAAGCTTCCTCCTGCCTCTTGCACTCTCTTTGGCAACTTGTGCCCATATGGTCAGATCTGCTCAACTGTGGACAGGGTTAGCTTAGGCCTGCCTGTGTCATGGGTGTCCACAGAGCCAGTGCCTGGATAGGCAAGTTGTTTTGGGGGATCAGGGCTGGTGAGGCCACTGTGCCAGAGATCTAAGGCAACATTCTCCAAGCTTCTTCACAGGTGGTAAGGATGACAGAATCTTCATCTGATTTCTCTAACTATACTAGTTTTGATGAAGAATTTAATCATTACAATGGAATTCTTAAAAATTAGCATCTTAGTGTCATTTACTTAAACTATAATTGGTGACCAGGAACAAAATATGGAATTTATCTTAAAACTACTACTGATTATATGAACTTTTAAAAAAAAAGTATATAACCACAATCCTGAGTTCACTTTATAATGTGTATTTCTGCCTTGTCCATACTTATGTAAGTAGGAGATCTATTTCTTACCTTCACTCTCTGAGCTGGAAAGTCTACGCTTGTGAACACGCCTTATTTCTTTGCCACGTCTTAAACTCTTTTGGGAACCATCACTTTCTGAATCTTCTTTGTAGTTAATTTGTCTTTTCTGGTTCCTCCTTGACCGCCTTCGCCGAGTTTCTACAAAATCATCACTAAAATCATCGCTAAAGTCACTTTCTATTAAAAAAAGGAACAAAAACGAAGTCATGTATAAAACTGAAATCTATTAAATAGAAATATAACTAGATTAGGCTATAAAAATTAAAGATACTAAATAGAGTTTAGTCATAAAAATTCTTAGGTTAAAAACTTTCATAAGTCTTATTTTCTTTTTAATAAAGTGAGTCACTCTGGGAGAGGTTTTTAATGGCAAGTCTTAAAAACATATCTTATTCTCAAGATAAGAAAATATTTAAAGGAAGAGAAAATGGGCACAGTGGCATACACATGTAATTCAAGGGACTCAGGAGGCTGAGACAAGAAGATTGCTATCAAGGCCAGCATCAGCAACTTAGTAAGGGCCCTAAGCAACTTAGTGAGACCCTGCCTCAAAACACAAAATAAAAAGGACTTTGGATGTGGCTCAGTGGTTAAGCACCCCTGGGTTCAGTCCGAGTACCACCGCCACCCCCCAAAAAGAATGCACATATACAGCAGGCACAGTAGTAGCACATGCCTGTTACCCCAGGGACATGGGAGGCTAAGGCAGGAGGATTAAAAGTTCAAGGCCAACCTTGGCAACTTAGTGACATTCTATCTCAAAATAAAAAATAAAAAGGACTAGAGATGTGGCTAAGTTGTGGAGAGGACCTAGGTTTAATCCCCAGTACTACAAGGGTTGGGGGGACAGCGAAAAAGAAAAGGGCTGGGACTTAGCTCAGTGATATAGGGCTTCTCTAGCATGTGCCCTCAGTCTGATCCCCAACAATGCAAAAAGAAAAGAAATGTATTCAATGTATTTTATTCAACTTAGAACAACCTGGTCGAGTACACAAGCTGCCACAACTGCTTTATGTGGTGAACAGTCTACAGAATATTCTTCCTGATAATCTGCAGTTCCTGTCTTTGGCTACCCTCATAATAATATAACCCCCTAATCAAAGAAACCTCATGAGCCTATTCCAAAGAATTATACAATTGGAGTTACATTTTTAAATTTTCTCCATGTGGAATAAAATCCTGGTAAAATACAGTACATAGGGCTGTTTATACTCTCAAAGCATTGCCAATAGCATTGTTCTTGTCATTTCTGATCAGTAAAGCAGAGTGAGTATATGGCTTTCTGTCAGAGGTGCTTTCAGTAGTGCTTACAAATTCTACTGAATTATTACATTCAATCTTACTGTTCTCTAATGGACTGCCAACATTTCAAAATAGCTACCCAATAGTTAGAAGTGATTTTCACTGGCCAAATCTGGGAAAACTGAACTTAAATACTGATAGTAATGTACTAAATCTACTCATTAAAATAAGAATCCAAAAATACACACTGATATAAATAAGGAAATATATAAACAAGGGAAAGTTCTTCCTCATGGAACAATGACTAATAGATATAAAAGGAATAACAGTGCTGGAGAATCCTCAAAGGACTAAGACTAGCAGGTGAAACATTTGACAAGGAAGTATATTTACACAGCATCAAAGTATCTTACTACTAATTATTAATTTTAAGGAAAAATAACATAAAGAAACATGGGAGGCTAATACTTCTGTGAGTTCCTGCCAAAAATGCATAACCTGAATCTGATCACAAGGAAACAGGAAAAACCAAACTGGGGGACATCTTATAAAATTACTAGTAGGTATTCTTTTTAAATATCATGGTCAGAAAAGACAGATTTTGAGGGATATTCCTGATTAAAGGAAACTAAAAAGACATGAATAAATGGAACGTAAAGTCCAAGATCAAATTCTGGACTACTGAAAAACTATATACATAAAACAAAATCTACAAAGGATGGCCAGACCAAGGAAACAATATTCATGTCTGTGATACATCCCCTATAAGATGACAGCTACCTGTTTACCAATTCTATAAAGCATCCCCCCTACCTTTCAGCTGTTTTGCCTCTATTAATTATGTTAATAAAGATAAGCATAATGTATAAAAACATAAGTCACTGCTAAGTTGGAAAAACTACAGAATCACTGATTGTGGTATACATATTGGAGATAAATGGAATTCTCTCTTTAACAATTGAGTATCTGACAAAAATGTTCAACTTTTTGAGAATGATCCCAAGAAACACTATAAGGATAAAGGTTAGGCAATGGAAACAATGTGGCACCAAAAGGACTCATCACAATCCTAAATGAATTTAGTATGAAGTCAATACATAAATTTGCATATATTTTCTCAGATATGCTCTATGTGAAACACATAGTTACTAGTGAGTCATAAGAAAAGGGCACAACCTGGGCATGATGGAGCACATTTGTAATCCCAGCAGCTGGGAGGCTGAAGCAGCAAGATCATGAGTTCAAAGCCAGCCTCACCAACAGTGAGGCACTAAGCAACTCAGTGAGACCCTGTCTCTAAATAAAATAAAAAACAGGCTCAGTGGTCAAGTGCCCTCGAGTACCCCAAAATTAAAAAAATTAAAAAAGAAAAGGACAAAGTTTTATCAGAAAGCTTAATTACAATTGTATAGAATTTTAAGAGCTCTTAACTCCTGAAGTCAAACAAATGTAGTAAGTTAGTATGATATGAATACAAGTTATCTTTACCAGAGTCTCTACTATTATCTTCAGATTCCTCCTCTTCGTCGTCATCAGAGTACTTTTTCTTTGGGGTCTTTCTTCGCAAACGCCTACTTTGCCTCATTGGTCGGGAAGGGTGTCGCCTCAATCTACGACTACAGAAATCAGTGTCGCTGTCATCATTAGATGGTGGATCTTCTTCACTTTCATCTGGGTTTTCATCAGATACAACAAATTCATCTTGAGATCTGTCCAGGAAAGCCCAAATAAATTATGATAGTACACTAAGAACTGAGAACACGTTTTTGAGTTCAAATTTTGGTGGGTCCATTGAAACATTAAGTAACATTTATGCAATATATCTGGATAATTTTATCAGTTTCTCTGGAAAACAAAATGTTATCTGTTCTTTTAGGAGGGACTGAGATGATAAAGTGATGCTGATTTTTGTATATAAAATTTCATTGGCCTCTTGGATGTCCTCCGTGTACCTTTAAATTTGGCACATCAAAAGGGAACTCATGGGGTTGGGGTTGTAGCTCAATGATACAGCACTTGCCCAGCACATGTGAGGCACTAAATTTGATCCTCAACATCACATAAAAAAATAAATAAATAAAATTTTAACAGTTCATCTACAACTAAAAAAAAAAGAAAAAAGGGAACTAATTATTTCCCAATCTACTCAGCTTCTGTCTCCCCCAATAATCAAAACAAATACCTGATATTAATCCTAATATTTCCCTTTTAATTTCTCACATCTAAAACATTCAGTGGTTTTTCATCATTTTCAGGACAAAGTCCAAACTTTCATGCATGCCTAACAAAACACCCTTCATCTAGTTATTTTTAATTTTCTAAACACATCTCCAATAGGGCATTCTCTATTTTATTCTTGTATTCTTCCTATCCTGGGACACTAGATATTTCTCAGATATTCCATGATATTTTATGGCTTGCTGCCTGCAACACATAACTTCTTGGAATGCCTTCTTTTCTTATCCTGCTTCTAATCTCAAACTTGTTGATGATCTATCCAAATATTCTGTAAATTTGAGATCAAACTGTACTTTTACTGGGAGGTTTTCTCTGATGTTTTTGGGTTAATCCAACTGTCCTCCTTACATTAATCTATATTTTCCTTATATTTTAGTAGCAGTCATGCAGAATGACTTTTTTGTGTGGGGGCTTTATATGTTTATTGTCTCCATTAACAATCTAAAAGGAGAAACTGCAGTATAGTTTTAATACCTATTCTGCAGAAGCATTTCCAGATTTTCCATACTGGATTACTTGTCCCAACCCCAACCTCTATGTCAAAAGAGGATATTTACTAATTATTTATTTCTCACATTTGACTTGATGACTTCCTCATGGACTTGGTAGCAGAAGGTAGCACAGTGGAACCTCTCAACAAATCCAAGTTCAATTACTGTTAATCAAATATAATTTTGAATATTAAACAAATAACCATAAATCTACTATATATATATATATATATATATATATATATATATATATATATATATTGTTGTAGATGGACACGATACCTTTATTTTATTTATTTTTATGTGGTGCAGAGGATCAAACCTAGTGCCTCATATGTGCTAGGTGAGCGTTCTACCCCTGACCACAACCCAGCCCCATAAACCTAACTTTTAATTTTAATCTAATAAAAACCAAAATTCACGTTCTTCAATCTTCTTTAAATACCCTGAAAACAGAGATAATCTATCTTTGTGAAGAACAAAATCCCCATCACAATGTGGCCAACTCTCACTGCTGGCTAGTCCTTTTTAAGCCAGTCAGAATGATGGGGTCTACGGCAGGCCACTTACCCATCACTGATCTTGAATTCATCTTCACTCTCTTCTTCATCCAGGTTGCTATCACTGTCCAGATCATTTAGTCGCCGGCGTTTCTTTCGTCGAGCAGCAGCTGCCCTCTGGGGTCGTTTATTTTCCTTTCTTTCTTCATCCAAAATAGTAGAGATATCTTTCCCGCGGTGACCTGTGATGGTGGAGATATCTTTTCCTCGGCCAACTCCTAAAGGGGAAGGATAACTATATGTTTATTAAACTTTCCCCTTAATTTGCAGACTGTCCTTATTATGTCTAACAGCTCTTCATTGGATTTCTGCCAACTTCTACTGACAGAGCTTTTATCTGGATAGATTTAATACTCATCCTACTGAACAAAAGTCCACAATGTAGAGAACCTCTTATTTATAATTCATGTACCGTGAAACTCACCTTTTCAGTGTGTAATTAAAAAGTTTTAATATAGTTATAACGTTGTACAATCATCATCTCTAATCAATTCCAGAACATTTTCGTCACCCCATAAAGAAACCTCATACTTAATTAACAGTCATCTAGAAAACTCTTCTTGAAAGCTATCTTTTGAATAAGGCTTGAAGAAAGAGACCAATACATATTTAAAAACACTGTTTGTAGGACAGGAAAAAAAAAGTGGGCTAGGAAATAAATGAAGCACACATTTCTAGAAAAGCTTCTTGACTTCTTTAGTTCCTTTACAAACAACCTATTTATTAATCCTTTCCAGAGTTTTCTTAATAATTAAATGGAAACCACAATGTTCCACATCAGAGCACCAGCAATTGGCTATATGGTACTTTCATAAAGTACCTTCAGATTCCTCTACATTAATGCCATCTTTTAAAGACTATGAAGTTAGTATGCTGATTTTAATAGATGGACCCAGGAATGAAATTTTTTTTTAAAATATCTTTTTTGTTGTTTATTTTTTTCGTTATAGATGGACACAATATCTTTATTTTGTTTATTTATTTTTATGTGGTGTTGAGGATTGAACCTAGTGCTTCACATGCATGAGGCAAGCACTCTGTCACTGAGCTATAATAATCCTAGCCCAGGAGTAAAATTTTTGATGTATGGAGGAACACTAATATTTTGTGGTAGATCATAAAACAAAAATAATTAGTAAGATCTGAGTCTGTCCTCTGACACTGTCCATTTTGTATCTAAGACAGTTAAAATCATTAGTTATAGTGATGCACATTAAGGTGGGGACTAAAAATTATGTTCAATGTCCTAATTTGGGCATTTCAATTAACTTGTTGGCAGTTATATGAAAAATTAAGAATGGTACAACATACCTCCTCCATCAGCCTCTTTGATATCATCTTCTATAGCTTCATCAATTGCTTCATCAAACTCATCAAATCTAAAACATAAAATGATCACATTACAGCCTGTCCTGGTGTTTTAAACTCTTAAAGATCATCTATACTAAATAATTAACTGTTTGTATCCCCACAAGCAGTAAAATCCTACCTACCAAGGTGATAGTATTAGGAAGTGAGGCCCTCATGAACAGGATTAATGTCCTCATAAAACAGGACAGAAAGAATCATCGCCCTTTCCACCATGTGAGGCCACAGTGAGAAGACAGCCATATAAGAGGAAGCAGGTGTTCACCAGACATGCCAGACCTTCTCTAGAGTCTCCTTGCCTTTTCTACCAGGTGAACACACAGCTAACAGGTACCATTTATAAACCCGAAAGTAGGCCCTCACCAGACTCAAAAATCTGCCAGTGCCTTGATCCTGGGCTTTCTATCTTCCAGAACTGTGAGATATAAATTTCTGTTGTTTACAAGCAGTTCAGGTATTTTGTATATTCCAGCACAATTGAACTATAACAGTATCAGAAAACAAAGAACTTTTTTTGCAATGCTGGGTAGATTAAACCCAGGGCCTCACATTGAAGCAAATGTACCTCCACTGCACTAGATCCATAACCCATTAAAAATATATATAAAAGGACCAGATGGTATGTACACATTTTAGATTTTTTTGGAGTATACGGTTTTTATAACCATCAACTCTGTCAATGTAACACAGAAGCGATTACAGACAGTATGTTACATAAATAAATATGGATGTGCTCCAATTAAAATTTATATATACTGGTTTTTATATGTATATAATATTTATGGAATTTTTTGTTCTTTTTTTCAACCATTTACAAATATAAACATAATTTATAGGTCATAGGCTTACAAAAATCTAGCAGTAAGCTGGATTTGACTTCTAGGCCCACCCCCAGTAAAACAAATCATATGTTAAGTAAATTGAACAAATTATTTCACAAAAAATGTTAAATAGGCTTAATTATTATTATTATTGAAAAGTAGATCATTATTATTGTTATTACTTAAGTTCCCATACAGCTGATTAAAATTGTAGAACTAACTTAATGTACTTGTTCTTGAAGGGTTGTCCTCCGGTTTAAAGGAAAGGACCAAGACTAAATGTTCCCTGGATTTCCTCCTTTCATTTTAGGGATCAGGTAACCAATAAGATGAAGTGACTTGTCCAAAACCATGATAAATATAGTAATTACTGGCTAGCCACATGAATCTATTTCAGTTAAATTTTAAAATTCTGTTCCTCATTAAGCTTATTTTAAGTACTCAACCATTACATATGGCTTACTGCTTGCCATACTGGACATGAAGGAAATATAACATTTCTATCATCACAGTAAATTCCAACAATAAGTTCTATTGGAGAGGGTAAGGATTAAAGGCACCTAGTAGATTAATAACAATATCAAGACTAAAAGCTAAATATTTTGCCTCTGAGTTGCAAATACATATACACAAAAATACCCAGATTTTTCAAGGGATTCACAAGTTTCAAGTTAGCTTCTACAACAATATGATTTTTAATGTCTGTGTATTGTCTAATCATATAAATACATAATAATTACAGTTAAAAACAGTTTATTTCCAATTTTTTTTCAGTTAGCATGCTCTGAAAAACATTACTGTAGCTGTAGCTTGGTTTTTCCTTAAGATAAATTCTGAGAACTGGGAACAATATTACACGCCTATAATCCTGGCAACTCAGGAGGCTGAGGCAGGAAGATCCTAAGTTCCAGGTCATCTTTGGCAATTTACTGAGACCCTGTCTCAAAATAGAAAATTAAAAACATCTGGGGATTTAGCTCAATGGTAAAGTGCCCTGGATTCAATCACAGTACTACAAAAAGACAAATTTTAAGAAAGTAAAAAAATCTACATATCCATCTATTGAGCTAATTAACAGATACAGATAAAGCTAGATGCAAAGTTAACCAAAATTAGTATTTGTCAAGGATATACAGAGGTTATAAAGTGGCATGACAATCTACTTTAAGTAACGTCTGCTTTCTTACTGAGAAACTGTTTTCTTTTTTTTTTTTTTTTTTTGACAATGGCTTTTAGTTATTTTATTTTTTGAGAAACTGTTTTCTAAAGCCATCAGAAACTTCAGACATTTGAGATGATACCACTAAGAATGAAATATCTAATTCTTATCTGGAGGATCCAAGTCATTTTTAAAATTAATAAGGAGTCTTGCTATACAACCTAGAGGCAGGATTTCAGATAATGGGTTTCTATGTATCTGCCTAAACTTCACTGATTCCAAGGCAACAGGATTCATGTAATCCATGTCTGAAACTGACCCCCTTTAGTGTCTTCCTTTACTCTATTATAATTGCTTCTTTTAAATTTCATCTAACCACCACCCTTTTTCAGACGCCTATAACTATCTTTTCCCCTGTATGGTTAGAGACCCCTATGATGCCATTGTGAAATTTTGTTGGACCGTACATTTCTTCCCGGTATTCTAACTAAGATAATGTAATTGGTGTTAATGGCACACAAATTGTTTTAATAACAACAATGAAGAGAATTTAAGTTATTTTCCTGTTCTAATTATTATTTTTTAAAATATGGAACACTTCATGAATTTACATGTCCTCTTTGCACAAGAGTCATGGTGATCTTCTCTGTATCATTTCAGTTTTAGTTTATATGCTGCCAAAGCAAGCATTTCCTGTTCTAATTTTAATTTGACTACTGTATGACCAAATATTTTTTTCATGTTTACTGGTCATGTTGCAGAGTACTCATTTGGGTTCTTTGCCTCCCCCAAACACCCCACCCCAGTACTAGGGATGAAGCAGTCAGGATTTATTTACTACAGAGCTACATTCCCATCTTGTTAAAAATATATATTTTTTTAAAATTCTGAAATACGGTCTCACTAAGTTGCAAATGCTGGTCTAAAAATTTCAATCCTCCTGTCTCAGCCTCCAAAGCCACTGGGATTATAGACATGCACTGTCACATACTGCTATTCCTTTGCCCAATCTAAATGCTAGTTTGTTCATCTTTTCTTACTGATTTGTAAAATTTTTGTGTATTAAAATTGTACCTCCTTTGGAACATGTTGTAATTCCCTTTTTTTGCAGTACTGTGGATTGAATCCAGGGCCTTGCACATGCTAGGCAAGTACTCTACCACTGAGCTACATTCCTGGCTCTGCAATTACTTCTATCAAACTGTACTTCCTTTTCAGCGTTTGCGCATATATATATATTTAAAGTTTTTGGTTTGTTTAGTTGTAGTTGGACACAATACTTTTATTTTATTTACTTATTTTTGGTGGTGCTGAGGACTAAACACAGCGCCTTGCGCATGCTAGGCGAGCACTCTACTGCTGAGCCACAACCCCATCCACTATTTTTTTTTTAAGTTTTGAGAAAGGAAAACTGACATCACATCTCTACTATATTCCTTGCATTTTGTTAAATTCATAAACCACTCCTTTTAAAGTCTAACTCCATGTTTGTCTGTATGTGCAATTGTCTGAGATTGTCTTATTTTAAAAATATTTATGTAATCAAATATCCTTTCCATTATTGTTTCTGCCTTTTGTGGTATAATTTCAAAGCTGTTTTTACACTAGGGTGTAAGTAAGCCTTTTTAAAATTATTTTCAAGAACTAGGTAGGGTATGAAAAATGCATCACGTAGTACATTCTATGCTAAAACACATAGTTTACCATAAGGTCCTATATTGCCAAGATAAGGCAACAAAGACCAAAGAGCAATGGAATACTTAAAGATATATGGTCATTAAGTGCCAGAGTGAGGACTCTACTCTTAGTCTTCTGATCCTCAATCCAGTGCTTCCTCTAGGTAATTTTGATGTGTCATACTCTTTGTTAGAAGCAATAAGAATCAGATAAACAATTATTAAATTATAGTAAGCAGTGATGAAATTCTAATAAAACAAATCTCTGCTTGATGTCCCAAAACACTGTTTGGTATTTCAGAGGCCACAATGGTAGTGAGGCATAATGATGCATGCTTTTAATCCCAGCAACTCAGGAGGCTGAGGCAGGAGGACTGAAAGTTCAAAGCCAGCCTCGGCAACTATACAACTTAGCAAGTCCTTGTCTCATAATAAAAAATAAAAGGGCTGAGAATATGGCTCAGTGGTTAAGTGCCCATGGGTTCAGTCTCTGATACCAAAAAAGGGGAGAAGAGAAAGAAAGGTATATAGCAACTTAAATATAATTTATCTATTATTTGAGTGAGGCAATGTGATTTAGTGGAAAGAATATTAGAGAGAAAACAAGAAAACAATCAAAAGATAGGGTTCAGGGCTGGGGTTGTGGCTCAATGGTAGAGCACTTGCCTAATATGTGTGAGGCCCTGAGTTTGATTCTCAACACCATATATAAATGCATTGTGTCCACCTACAACTATCTATCTATATATTTATATATCTATATATTTTTTAATATATATTTTTTAAAGATACAGAAAAACAATGGAAAAACCTTTCTGGTATCTTTGGTAGCAAAAGATAAACCAGATTATATTATTTTTCTTCCCTTCTCTTTTTTGTTGTTTTGCTTCTGTTTTATTAGCAGGGATTAAACCCAGGGGTGCTCAACCACTGAGCTACATCCTCAGCCTTCTTTTTTTTTAAATTTTGAGACAAGGCCTCACTAAGTTGCTGAGGCTGGCGTTGAACTTGCAATCCTCCTTCCTCAGCCACCCAAGTAGTTGAAGTTACAGGCGAGTGCCTCTGCACCTGGTTATATTAATAATAATAATATTAACTGTGTATTTATAACACTATGTGTAGGAGACACAAGAATGTGTAAAATAGAAAAGGATGCAAACAGTGTAATGAGGGAGAGAAAATTTTTAAATAATTTTAATCACACAAAATAGAATTACAAATGTTTTTAAATAAAGAACTGGTTGCTACAAGGGGGAGATTTGTTTTAAGAAAAGGTTAGTAAGGTAAAAATGGAGGGAAATAAGAGGCAGAATAAACAACGAGCAAAAAGGGACTAGAAGATGATACTGTAATGAATGCACAAGAGGTTAAGGAAAATGTTGATAGGATGGAGGACGAATGAAAGTTGAGATAAAACTATGCCAAGACTTCTAGATCTAAAGCTTTAATCTTCATCCCAAGAGCTATAAATATCCAATAAAGCATGTTAGGGAGAAGAGGAAGACATGAGTATATTTATGTTTGGAAAATATCACACTATATACTACAAAATTCTGTGACTCTAAAGATGGGAGGTAAGAAATAAATACATGGCCTTCAGTCTCCACAGGTCCAGCTCCTGTAGTTTCCACCAGTCATAGATCAAAATTATCTGGATAAAAAAATTGTGCCTGTATTGAAATATATGGACTCTTTCCCCTGTAATCATTCCCTAAAGGATACAGTAAAACAATAACTTATATGTATTCAGTATTTGGGTTTTTGATTGTTTTATGAGATGGGGTCTCTCTAACATTGCCCAGCCTGGTCCTAAATCTTGGGCTCACGTGATTCTCCCACCTCAGCCTCCCCAGTAGCTGGGACTACAAGCGTGTGCTACCATGCCTGCTTGTGTAAGCCATCTAGAGATGATTTAACATATATGGGAAGATGTGCACAGGTTACATACAAATACTATATTTTAACACATGGGATTGAGGATCTGTGGGTTAAGGTATCTTTAGAGGGTCCTGGAAAATTTCTTTTTTTTCTTTTTTTTATTATGGTGCTTGAAATGAAACAGAAATTCACACATGCTAGGCAACCGCTATACTGAGCTACATCGTTAGCCCAGGGTTCCTGAAATCAATACCCAGTGCATATACAATTGCTAATAATCATTGTGATAAAAAAAGCATATGCTTCTGGGTCATGTTATTATTATAATTACCAATATAATTATAAAAACATTTTATGGCCTTTTCCTACAACCAATTCCATATATTGCATACCTGTAACTTATACACTTCCGTGTTCTTGTTGACCTCCTTTCAAGCAAATTTGCTTTTGATTTTTTTGAATCTTTTTTCTTTTCTTCTTGATCTTCAGAAAAATCTGGCTCCTTTCAAAATATAAGAATACAGGTAAAACAGAACAAAATCCCTTGGGATTAGCAGTGTTGTAATCTCCATCTAGGTGACACATGTGAAAGGTCTGAAAAAATTTGACATTATCCTGCCCAAAATGAATATAAACAGCAACATTAATTGTATAGGCATAAAAAGGAATACTAGTGGTGAAAGGATGAAAATCTTCTGTATGAAAATACTTCTACTTTTTTTAGTTTATAATTGCCTGTTTTAAAACTATCAGGATGAAATTTTTCCACTGGTACAGTCTTTTAACCAATTAAATTTGACACACAGAAAACACTCAATAGGAATATATGCTGAATGAATAAAGTAATTGATTTAAAAGAAAGGGGTGATGCTGAAAGAAAATAACTTCACAGTCTGTGATTTAATTAATTAAGTCTGAATGAAACTGCTTATCAAATTAGTAAAGGCTCTTCATTTCAAAAGAGAAACCATATTCCATCTACTCAGCAAGAGATACTCTTCTTCATTATACATTATTAAATACAAAGTGATAAACCTTCAAAGAAACCGAATTGCAACAATATAAATTAAAGTGTTCAATAATGCTAAAAAGCAGGAAATTAAAAACCCAATCACCCTGAACTGTTCTTCAGTTACTTTACATAAATAACATGAAAACATATACAAAAATTATCTGATTTGGGTAAAAACAATGGAACATAAAACCCCAAGCAATGAACATCTAATTTAGCTTTGATAAATCACATTTTTGGGTTATCTGCACATATTTTTATTTCAATCACGATCATAGGTAATTTATTTAGGGTTTTAAATTTAATTTTTAGATATATATATATATATATATATATATATATATATATATACACACACACACATATATGTATATATATATGTATATATTATATATTTAAAACTAGCCCCATTACAAAAATGAGTTAAATTTTAGAACAATTAAGCCCATATCTCCTTTGAAAATACTGTAAGCAAGAAACTTACTTGTGGAGGAATGATGTTTTCAATACTGATACCCACGTACACCAAGCGTTCTTTCCTTTAAGTAAAAAACACAATATAAGATTTGTGGAAAAAATTATGAAAATATTGCTAATGCAGACAATAAAATTAGAATTCCATGATAGGTAGAGGCTATATCACAGACATGTTTATTATTAATACAACTTCCGAAAGGGATAAAAACTATACTTTTAGAACTGACTTATACTTGTTTTTGTGGTATGAGGTGTTTTTGTTTTTTTTTTAAATTTGTTCTAATTAGTTGTACATGACAGAAGAATGCATTTTGACACATCATACACAAATGGAGTATAACTTCTCATTCATATGGTTGTATATGACGGAGTTCATATAATCATATATGCACATAGGATAATAATGTCTGATTCATTCTATCATTCCTACACCTATGCCCCCTTTCCTCCTTACACTCGCCTGTTTCATCTAAAATACCACAATTCTCTGCCCCCTTATTGTGAATTAGCGTCTGTATATCAGATAAAACATCCAGCTTTTGGTTCTGAGGGATTGGCTTATTTTGCTTAGGATAATATTCTCCAGTTCCATCCATTTAATGACAAATGCCATAATTTCATTCTTCTTTGAGGGTAAATAATATTCCATGTGATACCACAGTTTCTTTAAGCATTCATTTGTTGAAGGGCACCTAGGTTGGTTCCATAATTTAGCTATTGTGAATTGAGCTGCTATAAACATTGATGTGGCTGTTCACTGTAGTATGCCGATTTTATGTAGAATTGACTTATTCTATTGAAATAAACCTTATAACTGAAATAGAAAAGGAAGCTTTGTCAAGAGTCACGCTGTGACCTGATATCATTAAAAAAGAATTGTGTATAAGAAAACCATATCAAGGTCCCAGTGAATGACACTAATACCACTCAATTCTTGCTATAGAAAAGAGAAAGAGCAATACAGACATAGGCTCTACATTCTGCAGTGCCACAATAGAAGATACCTTTGGAGCCATAATATGAGGATATGAAGCACTAATGACATCTCCACAGTTTTATTTCCAACAAATCTTTGTTGATTTTAATTCAACAAATATTACATTACAAACAGCTATATATAACAGGTGCATTCTCTGGTTCTCCCTAAAGTTAATCCAGTTCAATAAGGATAGCTGAATTCTGATATGCCAGGGTGTATTAGTGAACTAAAACAGTAACCATTCTTCCTCTCTTGTAATCTCTCTTCTGAAAGGAAGTTAATGCATCTGCTTGTCTGGGTCCTTTAGCTTTTATGCTCTAGAAACCCTTGACCCTGTTAATAGGAATCTCAGAGACAGGTCATGAAGCTATTAAATAAAAACTGTCATGTTATGAAAATGATAAAATGATTTTAATAAAAAGCCTGATAAAAACACAATTAAGTAGTAACTAGGAAAGACAAGAATAGTACTAACTGGACTAAACAGGGAATATTTTATGACTTGAACTATCTCTGTTATTAAATATATGTGACATATTACCAGTCGTTACAATAACCATGTTTATTGAAATACCAGTTCTCTCCTTTATGGGTCAAAATTTCTGCTTTAACTTGGCCCCATCTCTCTGAAGAAAATTTATTTATTGATTGATATACAGATTTATTAATTTTGTGGTACTGGGAATTGAACCCTAGGTCTCACATATGCTAGACAAATACTGAGCTATATCCCCAGCCCAAGTTTTAAACTTTTATTTGAGCTGAGGACAAGCTAAGTTGCTCTGACTGGTTTCAAATTGTGATCCTCCTGCCTCAGCCTCCCAAGTAGTTGGGATTATGGATTGGCAACACTTTTCCACGCCCTAAAAAAATATCTGTTCACACTCATTGTATTTGATCAAGATTTGTGTCAGGCTTGGGAATCCTTAGGTAAATAACAGTTCCTGCAATCATTTTGTACTCTAAATCCAACAATTCTTTTATTTCAGTAGAACTCTATCCACTGTCCATTACTCTCTTTATGTCCTTACTTTCCTCTTGACCTGGCATACACTCCCTGTTCCATTATTAAAAATCCTCCTTTGGGATCAAGAACTCAAAGCTAGCCTCAGCAAAAGTGAAGCGCTAGCAACTCCGTGAGACCCTGTCTCTAAATAAAATACAAAATAGGGCTGGGGATGTGGCTCAGTGGTTGAGCGCCTCTGAGTTCAATCCCGATACTACTCCCTCCTGCCAAATACTCCTTTGCATACACTTTCAAATTCCTTGTCTCTTTCTATCTTTCCCTTTTGTTAAATTACATGGAAAATTCCAACCCTGATTAAATTCAACTCTCTGTTAGCAAACTACTAGTAATAATAATCTGGAAACACAGAGATGTCTGAATTCCAAATAATACCAAGCTCTGGAAGAGACCATTATAAAATAGAGTAGATTTCACAGAGCATCACAACTCCATATCTCCGATAGTTAGAAAGCTAGTCAGTAAATATTCATTGACATGTCCCTCTTTTCCACTAGACTATAGAGCCCATTAAGGTAGAGATTACATTATACCCTTCATGGTGAATATACTGCATGGCATGAAGTAGATACCCAATAAATAAAATCCAACAATATTTTATAATTGAAGCAGCATATCCTATTGTATATAAGGCCTTTGTCAAAACAATCTTCACCAGACTTTTGCATGTATAAATAGCATAAGCATTACAGACTTCCAAAGAATAAGCAGATTTAATCTGAGTATCAGACAGAACTCTTAGTGGTTTATATTCTTGCTTTTAGAAAGAAGACATTCTCTTCTAAGCCCTTAATGGGCAAGCTTCAGGACGTGGGAAAATTGTTCATTTCTAGAAGGACAGGCAGATTTCAGAAAGATTGAGACCAATAAAATATAAGTTACTATTTAATTTGAAGAATTTTTAGATTTTTCTAAGTAAAAAAAAAAAAAAAACAGAAGAAACTGCACATCAAAATATATCTAATAATTTTATGCAGAATTATTTTTCATTTTTGAAAATGTCCTTAGAAAATGTTATAAATATTTGAAAAACAAGTTGTTTATACAAATAACTCTTGGTTTCTAAATTCAAAGATATTTAGACAACTAAATTTAAAAAGTTAAACACTATCTCTAAATCAGTTTTGGAGATTAACTTGCCTTTAAATGAAGTAGCATCCTCTATGACCTGGACAGCTCAAATTGAATTGTGAAAAAAAAAAAAAACTAAAGTTAATGTTGTGGAGGCTGAAATTTATTAAATTTCACTTTGGATTATAGAATTAGCTAATTTAAGGCAAACTAAAATTTGAAAAGCAGACAATGAGTCAAAGGACATAAGTTTAAGAGGTAAAAAATTAAAATACTAAGACCAATCAAAGGGCACTGTTTAGATATTCTCATCCTATATGAGTAAACAAATGGGCACTGAGTCCTATAAATTAATCCTTTGAATGTATCTCCAACATGTCTACCTTACTATCCCCTAGTACAGGCCTCATAGGCTCTCATAAACTCTCTCTGCAGCACCCAAACTCTAATTTCAACTTCTGTTACCAGAGCATTTTTTTCTTGTTTAGTCAGAAATATACCTTTATTATCATATTTCATAATCTAAAAGCTTCTTTTAAAATTCTGGTAACAGAATATTTCAACTTCTGCACAACTGACTGGCCCTGCAGAATACTGGAAAACAGTTTCTAAGCAACCTGAACTTTATAGATAAGAATCTGTAATTTAGTTTGGAAAGAAAGAAAAAACAGTTCAAATCAATATTTCTCCACTGTAAGACAAATAAAAAAATTCAATTTATTCTTCAGTTATACTTTGAACATGTTTTCCTAGAAACTTTGGTGACTTCTTCAAAAAAGCAACTGCCTCAAGTATAAGGTAACTTCCCAGGGAGATAAGAAAGAGATCTTAAAATAGGACATAAAAGAGACATGGCACACAGCTTAAGCCTTGGCATGTAAGTAGAGTATCCCTCTGAATAAGCCATCTCCCATATTTCAATAGTAAATTATGTCTTGATGTAAGTATAACATACATAACACATTTCCTTGTATGGGGATCAGACTTTAGCTCAAACTTAAAAGCAAAAATTTTAGCCAGGCGGAGTGGCACACTTCTGTAATACCAGCAGCTTACTTAGGAGGCGGAGGCAGGAGGATCACAGGTATATATATATATTTACTTTTTAGTTTTAGGTGGACACAATATCTTTATTTTATCTTTATGTGGTGTTGAGGATCGAACCCAGTGCCTCGCGAATGCTAGGCAAGTGTGCTACCGCTTGAGCCACATCCCCAGCCCTGGATCACAGGTTTAAAACCAGTCTCAGCAACTTAATGAGGCCCTAAGCAACTTAGTGAGACCCTGTATATAAATAAAAAATACAAAGGGGCTTAGGGATGTGGCTCAGTGATTAGGTGCTCCTGAGTTGAATCCCAGGTACAAAAAAAATTTTTTTAAATATGATAAATCTCAAATTATTTGTCTCATGTAATGTATATAGATTATGAAATTATGGTGCTTTCTGAAGTTCACTGAATACCACTGTCAAAGAGAGATGCCATGTCCTCTTAGCATGTTAAAGGAACATTAAAATTATTAGCTACTTTAAATGAAACAAAAATCTGGGTACAGTTCTTGTCTTTGCATACACATTATGGGACAAAGAACATGCACTATAACTAGCAAGTCATTTTTTAGTATGGAAAAGCTAAAGTGCAACCATGGTCCAAGCATCAATATTAGATAACTTTGGAGGAAATTAAGTGTCCAAATAAACGATACTACAATGTTTGCCTAAACAGTGATATTCACAGCAGTATTTTTTCCCCACTTAATAGCTACCTACATACCAGACGAAATTGTGTACCCCATAAGCCAAAGGTCAAAGTGAACACTCAAAAAATCAACATTGCCGTTATCACAAGTTTAAAATACTTAAAATGAGGAGTAACAGTTTTCAGTTTATTGGCATTTTAAGTAACTGCTTTATTACTTACTCTTTTTTTTTTTGGTGCTGGGGATTGAACCCAGGGCCTTGTACATGTGAGGCAAGCACTCTACCAACTAAGCTATATACACAGCCCCTATTACCTACTTTTAATATACTGCTAATCCAATGCTTACTGCAATACCAATCATAATTCTACTATTGTTAATTAGATTATGGTTTTAATGTTTTAAAATAAGAGAATTCAATTTACAAACCTATATAGTTTTAAACCAATAGTTTTAATCACCTACCACAAACACACACTTTCTCTATGTAGATTTAAAAATAAATTATTAACATAGCTGACATATACATTTTGCATGTGCTTTATATATACGTGTATATATTTGTGCACATAATTGCTCTTGTTTCCAGAACGATGTCAGCACTTGAAAACTCTGCATAAGACCTGATGGCATTGAAAAACTTATGGGAAAAAAATATGGAAATTCATTCTAGAAGAAAATTTTAAAGGAAGAGATTCTCAAAAAAAAAATAGTTTTTTGTGGAAACAAAAGCTATAGATTCTGGATCCTATATGCATTATTTAGTTCAGAAATTATGTTAGAATACACTGTACAGGAGAACCCCAGATACTTGGTTAAAAGGTAAGAAAGTATATTTTAGTCATCAAAGGGCAAAGCAGCAGGAGGCAAAAGGAGCCACTGGCTGGAAAACTTAAGCCAGCAAAAAGAAAGTCATGCCCACAGTTAATAGACAGCAAGCTGCTGATACTACCAGGGGAGGGGGTCTTAAGGCTGCAATGCTTCCAAGATGGTCCCAGTACATGTGCCATGTACTGTCATGCCAAGTGCTCAGAGGCTGCACCAATGATGGGTGCTGATCAAAAGAGTTTTACCACCCTCCAAAATGATACCACAGAAATAGCTATTAGGACAGAGGCTGGCAGCATGGTCAAAGGGTGCAGATTACTCAGCTAAAGAAGACTGCACAGATATGCCGAAAATTTGAATAAACATGCATCTATGGACATAAAAAACCTGAATCAAACTAACAAACTGAAAAGCAATCTGTCAAATGAAAACGGAAATCTGACTGAACAAGTCCCTTATGCAACCTAAAGAGTAAAATCTTGACCAGTAGAAAACTCCAGGGAAACAGAAATCTTACTTTGTTGGCTTTCAAATTAATTGAGAAGAAGGTTAGACACAAACAAAAAAATCTTTACTTCACTGCTGTTAACAGAACTTTTCCATTCCTTGCCTCACATTTTAGAAGGCAGTGGGCACAGATGAAATTTCTTCTAGTGTTTGACATCTTATGAGGCCTCAGGCCTGAACATTAATGACCAATGCACAATGGGTCCAGGTGCCAGGACTACTGAAGACTGGGTCAATTATTTCAGCAGCTGGAGCTTTGTTTTACTAAAACTTTAAGATAAGACTGTTCCTTCTCAGTGTTCTTTTTGTAATTTGTTTATTGCTTTTAAAAGGATGTTATAATAAAATTTTGGCTGAGATTCCCCTTTGTTAAATTCTGGTTAATTTAGGTGCTTATGTGCATCACGATCTTTGCTTTTCCAATGTCTTACTGTGTGATGTGCCCAAAAGGACAGAATCACTGGTCCCTGAAACAACATTCCCCAAAGGCAAGAGATGATGGTCTTGAGCCACCCCCCTTTTAGATGATGTTCACTATCATTGTTGGGTTTCTTTTTAAGCCATTTGGGGCCTGATGTTGTCTTTCTGGCTAAGCCTCAGAAACTCCCCTTTCTTGGGCAGTCTACATGCTGGTCCTGTCGTCCTTGATGGAAATGGGTTTTGAGATCAGGGTGGCTACACACAGAATGTGGGTACCCTTGGGTTAGGCATTAGGATTTCTTATTTGAAGAGAGATCTGTAAGCATATGCTCACTGATGTCACAGCTTTGGCCTGAGGACTGCTGGCTTTGGTAGTACTCTAACTGATTTCCCACTAGTTCTACCCACTGCAACAGATTCTTAAGTAAAGTCCTGGAGCTGAGCTTTCCCTTGAACCTCCTTTTCAGCTGCTGCTTCTTCTTCCTTCCTAAGAAGCTCCTCCTCTGCTTCTGTCAGGCGATGCCTCAGTGCAGTGACCATAGCCACATCCACTTATCTGTTCAGGGCCCTCTCCCATCTCTGAACTTTCTGCTTTTTCTGAATCTGCTGCATGGACTTACAAAAGTTCAGCAGTTTTCTGGGCCAACTCTTTGGTGAGTTTATCGATTCTCTTTTTCTTTCTTTCTTTCTTTCTTGCTCTTTCTCCTATCCACAGCCTCGATGACTCAATTGAATTTTTCTCTGACATGTGCCTCAAAAGAGGCTTTTGTGTCTGAGGTGAGAAGTCCAGGACTCGACTGTGGCCCATCCAGTGAGTCTGCACCTATCCACAACAGCACAGGTCTGCATGTTTGACACTGGCCTCCCTGCTACCACCTCAAACAGCTTTCAATCCTTCGAGTATTCATGTGAAATGCTATATAAGTTAACATAGCTTGGTTTCTGTTTTATCAATTGCCGTGGCTCTTCAATTTTCCCTGTTTCAGGAGTTTGGAGGAAGTGAGTAGTAGTTCCATGGTAAGAAGTTGCATTTTGTCAGAAGTGGTCTTTCTTCCTAACTGTGACTAAATTCCAGATGGGCCCTCAAGGACAACAAACTTCTGAATATGGTATGGTCTCCACACCTCGGGTAGCAGAATGTCAGGCACACAACATTTTCAAAGGACATATGTGCTCTCTGTCTTTTGCTATGCAAAGCCCTACACCATCTCAGGACTCTGCCAGAAAGAAGGCCATTCTTACTCCAGAAAGACTGACTCCAGATATTTCTTCTCAACTTTAGGCCTCCAGAACCATGAGCCCAAATAAATATTTTTTTAAGTTAAAAAAAAAAATAAAACACTTTTCTAATGCATTACTCTAAAAGTCCCAACTTCTTGCTAATGTTGCCTCAAACACAGGCGCTAATGCTGCGGGAACCAAGCAATTTTTAGCAGAGCTGTAAATCAGGCTGAACTGGGGCCCACTCCCAAACCCTGTACACCCCAGCAAAAGGACAAGCAGTGTCCAGGGTGGAGCATGGTGCAGGCCAGCCAGTGAGGTAGCGCATCCAGAGGCAGGAGGTGGGTCCTGGGCCCTGGCCTGCCACTCTGCCAGTGCTGTCCTACCAGAGCATTTTCTGAAATAAATAACCACATACCATCTTTGATGGTTCCCCCACTGTCTATAAAGAATACTTCAAAGTCCCTACCCAGGAATGTAAGGCTGTTTGCAATTTGGACTTACTCTGCTTTAAGAGGTATATCTCCCCTACCACTCTCCTACCCTGACTTCTACTTTGTCTTTACTCATGTTTTGTACTCACGGCTTTGGAATACCTCTTCTTTATGTGTTCAACTATATAATCCCAATTTATCTTCCAAGGCTTTCCCTGATAACTCCAACTCCTAAGATTACTAAATTGCTCCTCCACAATGTTCTTATATTATTTTGAATATATCTTGATTTTTCTATTTTAGTGTATTTATACATTATTTATTTAATGATTCATACATCTGTATTTTCTGATATGATTTGAATTCCATGTAAACAAGAGCTGTCTTACCTTTTCTCTTCAGTTCAGTACACAATAGGTGCAAATGAATTATATACCTACTGTTTTGATTCTAAACATTCTTTTAAATATTAGATCATGTTCAGTCTTACTTCCTCCAAGAAACTTTCTCTCACTGCTTTGGACCTCAGTATAGTGGCATAATGAAAATGGAGTCATCTCTTTTATATTCAGTACATGGTTCAACCATTAAATGTTAATTATTTGGCATTGCTAATTAAGTGTTACTTGCCCACCCAAAGAGATGCACATGAGTAACTAAGTGATAGGGAAGTTCTTGTAATTTTCTTATGTTCACTATAATACTTGGGCTAATATTTATTCATGGTGGGTTCTGAGACATACTCTACATAAGGGATTGGCAAACTTTTCTATGAAATGACAGACAACGCATTTCAAAGTTGGAGAGTCATTAGATCTTTACTGCAATTTATAACTGCTTTTGTAGAACAAAAGCAGATACAGACAAACTTTATTTTGTGGACAAAGAAATGTGAATGTCATTTAATTTTCATGTGTCATAAATATGATTTAATTTTTAATTTTTTTCCCAACCATGTAAAAACATAAAAATCATTCTTGATAGGTAATACCAAAACAAGAAGCAGGACAGATTTGACCCACAGGTCACAGTTTGCCAATCTCTGCTCTAGATAGATGCATTCATCTATACTATAAGACAATTCAGTTGTCAAATACCCAAGAAAAACATTAATGCATTTATCGAAATACCTTCGTTCAGCACGCTCCTTCTTCTTTAAGGCAACATCCAAATCTTGCAACTGTTCCTCTAATTTTTCACATAACAGTTTCTGAAAGAGCAAAATATACATATTTTTCTTCTTGGGATTGAATGCAGGGCCTTATGAATGCTAGGCAAGTACTTTACCACTGAGCTACAACCCCATCCTCTTAAAGAAAACAAAAAACAATTTATTTTTTAAAAACAACAAACTTCTGGGCTGAGGTTGTGGCTCAGTGGTAAAGAGCTTGCCTAGTATGTGTGAAAAAGCACTGGGTTCAATTCTCAACACCTCATAAAAATAAAAAATAAAAAAATAACTAACTTGCCCAGGCTGGACTCAAATTTATGAACTCCTGCCCCAACCTCCTAAACAGCTGGGATTACAGGCATGAGCCACCTCAACTGACTCTGTCATTTTTCACATTCTTTTTCTCCCAGTACTGAGGATTAAACCCAGGGCCTCACACATGCCAAGTAAGAGCTCTATCACTGAATTACATCCCTAGCCCAATAATTGCCACTTTTAACATCTTTCCACAATCATTTGCCATATCATGTTAAACTCATGGGTATTGTGTAATAAGAACTGATTAAAGGCCATATAGTTAAGGAATACTGAAGCTTTCCTTGTGTTTATTAAATAGGTGCTTCAGCATCCACTGAAATTAAGATAAGCGTAGTATTTTGATGTGAAGCTCACAATACAAAAACACCTAGCTTTGCCAAGAAAATACATTCTATGCCTACCCTGGTAAAAGTGGCCAATATTTAAAATATCATTTGGTTCAAAACTATGTAAAACAATGATTATAATTAAAAGAAAAAGATCATAAGACATTTTTAGGGAGATTATATATACAGTAAAATATAACAGTGCCAATAACAATTTTTTAAAAAAGAATTGGGAAAAACGTGAAACAATGTTACATGGTTGCTAAGTCAAAACAGATCATGGAAAATGTAAATGATAAAGCTACACTAAGCCAAAGAAGTCCACTTCACTGAGAAATGCATAAAGTCCATCATTTCAAAAGCAAGAGACTGGGTTTATAAGGCAAAATACCCAATTGGTACGGTGGCACAGAAATATCCTGTTCTTCCGTTAAAAAAAAAAAATCACCTAAATCAAGGTCAAAGAAAAAGAAAATCTGTTTTTCCCAATTCTGATAATTTAATCTATAAAACTATTGACAAAAACAAGGTAGGCAGGAGTGGAAAACAAGGATGAAAGATAAGGAATAAACTATAGAAAGAAACTTATTTCCTCCCTAAATCTAAATTTGGTATTCTCTGTGATTGTAACAAATGTAAGAAAAAATAAATGATAAATTTATAAAAAAATTGGTGGGCTTCTGAGAATGGCATTGGAAAAGAGTAAAAGGAAGACCTAAGAGATATTAATAAAAGGTAGGCATCTTGGGACTGGGGCTGTAGCTCAGTGGTAAAGTGCTTGCCTCACATGTGTGAGGCACTGGGTTTGATCCTCAACACCACAAAAAATAAATAAAGATACTGTGTGTTCATCTACAACTAAATAAATATTTGAAAAAAAAAAGGTAGGCATCTAAATAAGAAGTAAACAACAAGTATAAATGTCTATGAAAATGGAAGATGTTCAGTGGCAGTTAAAAAATATCATTAATTTGAAACATAAAGCCAAGGGCTGGAGATATGGAGATGGGCTGGGTCATACATGTTGGCAAGGGGGGCAGAACCATTCTCCATCAGGGATGATCATCAAAGGAGGGCGGAGGCAGGCCGTGTGGTATCCACTGTCACAAGAATCACATAGAAGAATCTGAAATAAACCATATTAATGTCAACCTAACTGACTAAATTCAATGACTCTTAAGATAATGACAATTCAATATTTATTAGTACTTATTACAAAGTGCTCTTTATTTGCATAAATCTAATAAATGAAAAAATCTTATAATTAGTAGGAGTCTGAAAATTGGGTATCTGACAATTAGGGATGATGCCACTTTTTAAAAAAACTTAAAACAACACCTCCCCCGAAACACTAAAAAAAAAAAAAAAAAGGTAAAGTACAAAATTTAGTGAAAAATAACAAGTCCTTTCTGAACTAGAGTTACAATCATTTTAAAGTGATTTATCATTGCATAAGGGCAATGATAACATTCCTTATAACAAAGTTTTAAAGCTCAAGTATCATAAACTACTGTTAAAACATATAGAACGAAAGATTTCCATTTTAAATGCATCTCAATTACATATACGCAACAAACTCATGGTTTCTTTTTCCATGTAAATTCAAATAAGCAAAGGACAGGAATATTTAGATCCATCATGTTTAAATACAAAGGCTAATAATAATTAGTCTTACAGCTGATTTTTTTTTTTTTGCTTTTTAAATATAGATGATCAACTCTCTAAACTTAACATGGTACACTCATGAATATTTAACTTTTTAAATAACTTTATGGATTTATGGAAGAGTTACCAAAATATTAGTTTTCCCATATATCTTCATCATGGTTTAAAGTTTTACCTAACTATGGGATATCAACCAAAACTAAAAAATTAACACCACTACAATACCAGATTTCACCAGATTTTTCTGATTCTGAATCCAAGTTTCTACATTGTCTCCTTACTCTCCTCTGATGTGCAACAGTTACTCAGCCTTTCTTTTCCATGACTTTGACAGTTTTGAAAGATACTAATTCAAATAATTTGTAGATTGTCCCTGAATTTGTGTTTGTTTAATATTTTCTAATGATCACACTGGGGTTATGGGTTTTCAAGAATGCCACAGAGGTATATCCTTTTACACAGTCCATGAATACAATATGATTTATTATTGGTGATATTAACATTGATCATTTAGTTTTAGTTGCGTCTATTGGTTTCCTCTACTGTAAAGCTATTACTTTTCACTTTTTTAACACATATTTTTTAGATGTTGATGTGCCTTTATTTTATTAATTTCTATATGGTGCTGAGGATTCAACCCAGTGCCTCACAAATGCTATACAAGTGCTTTGCCACTAAGCCCCAGCCCCTATTTTTCACTTTTCATAAACTATACTCAAGATAAATGGAGCTCATACTCAAGGGGAGGGAAATAAATTTTCCAGTATCAAACAATCTGTGGATATGAATTAAAAATCATTATAGTAATTAATAAATATTCTGGAGGAAGACATGATAAAGCTGTGCAAATATCTTATTTTCCACTTAAATTTTTGCCCACTAGTGGAATTGTTCTGTAAAGAAAAAATGTCTCTTTACCCACACTCATTTGTTTATTCAATGATTTATTTATATCAATATGAACTAATGAATACTTATTATTATTTAGGTTATAATCCAAAGCTGTCGTCATTTAATTTGTTGTTATAATTGTTCAGCAATGGACATAATGGAAGCTCTTTCACATTGGACTGTTCCTTTATTGTAAAATGGAATTCGGAAAGCAGGGTTCTGGTAGTCTGAGTCCTCCTTATTACTGGACATCACTAATGCAAAGCTCTTTTAGAGGTCAGAGCAACAAATAAACAAACATATCTATGTGTATATATATATGTATATATATATATATATATGTGTATATAGTAAAATATAATAGTGCCAATATAATAGTCGGCCCCATTGTCTGCCCCACTGTGAAAATAGGAGACTTTGTCACATGAAAAGGGGCAAACACTTGCATAGAATAGTCACCTATTCTATGCTCAAACCTTGCATGAATGTAAGTTTCTGAAACTATAATGCATAGTTTTACAGGGGGAAGGAAGGTTGAAAGTGGAAAAATACCTTCCACCCTCTCCATACAATGTATTACCAATTGATGCTGATGACCAAGATTCAGTCTTCAGTAATTTTGGTATTATATCTCGGTTATATAATCATATATATACTCATCCTTATTTAATTGATTACATAGGCATATATAGACTAACCCAGGCACCCAATTCCATTTATCACATTGTGTTTGTTTGTTTGTTTGTTTGTTTTTGGTGGTGCTGGGGATTGAACCCAGGGCCTTGTGCATATGAGGCAAAGCACTCTATACCAACCGAGCCATATACCTAGCCCCATTATCACATTGTTTCTATGGTAAAATATAATCTAAATTTCAAATAATAAAATTACAAATAAACACTTAGTCTCCATTTCAGAAATCAGTTGAGTTCTATCTCTACTCCTTAATAAAGGGAAAATCCTTCTAAATAAAGACAACCATGTAAGATTCCCAGGCCTCATACAATGATGCATTTATTTTGACTAAAGCAGCTAGAAAATTCCAGGGTTCTACATTTACTTAACAATTTATTTCTTCTATGTTATAAGCGCAATGAGGACTGTATTTTTAGCTCAGCATCATATCTGTACCATTTAATGTATTCTAACTGCTTATTATTTTGATTTGAGGGTTACCCTTAAGCATGAGAAATCCATGACATAAGAAATCCATCATACTAGGGATCTTCAGTTTCTAAAGTCATTCTCCTTGGCACAGTAAACAGCAATGGGATTTTCCACATAGTCATGAAAATAGCCAAATAAATATAAGTCCTATGTGTGCTCCAAGAAGAGGGCAACTCTCTGAGACAATTAGAGATTCTCATGAAATAGGGATCCTTAGGATTTAAGGGATTAAAACCTCTCAGGGGAAGTAAGACAGATAATCTAGCCCTTAGTCTCAATGGAGTTAACAGCCTAACCAGAAAATTAGAAGTTAAAAAGTGAACCAATCTTCAAGGCTTATAGAAATACGATAACAAACCAGGAGATGCAAGGCCGAGATGTCAGCTCAGCCTTTTAAAAAAATGTGCTCAGTAGAAGCACCAAGAAGCTAGAGCCAGACAAAGCAAAATCACTAAGGTAAGGCCACTGAGATAGTTAGCCCCATTGTCTGCCCCACTGTGAAAATAGGAGAGACTTTCTAACAAGAAAAGGGGCAAATGCATGCATAGAATAGTCACTTAAGTAACCTACAGTTGCCTTTATCTTGTTATCATAGAATACACTCCCCTAGGTGGAGACCAAAGATGGTAATGAGATATGTGCCATGTGAAGAAACATGATGAAGAATAGCAAAGATGCACACCTAAAACTCTACCTCTACAATGATGACATCAAGAGCCTAGGACTCTGCCTACCACGTGGATGCCGTAAAAGCTGTATTCCTCTATCCTTAATCCTTTGATGGAGCAGCCTGGTCTCCCTGTGGATCTTAAACCTAGTATATATCTATCAGGAACTCTACCAGGCAACCTTTTTTGTTTTTTTTCTTCCTCCCACCATTTTTCCCCCCACACTGGGGATTTAACACAGGAGTGCTTTACCACTGAGCTACATCCCCTACCCTTTTTGTTTTTTTAAAAAAAATTTTTATTAGTTGTAGGTGGACACAATACCTTTATTTTATTTGTTTATTTTTATGTGGTGCCGGGGATCAAACCCAGTGCTTCACACATGCTAGGCAAAAGCTCTACCGCTGAGCCCTAATCCCAGCCCCACATCCCCCACCCTTTTTATTTTGCAACAGAGTCTTACTAAGTTGCTTAGACCTTGCTAACTTGCTGAGGCTACCCTTAAACTTGCAATTCTCCTGCCTTGAGTCTCCCAAGTCACTGGGATTACAGGTATGTGCCATAGCACTCAGCTTTACCTGAGTTTTTAAAACACCCCTCAGAAACATTCAGTAGAAGTCCCATTTTATAATAAAGACATCAAGATACAGAGAAGAAAACACTGATAAGTGGCAGAAGCAGGACCTATATCCACATCTTTCTGGCCCCTTGCTTTTTTTATTATATCACACTGCTTTTTAGAAAAAAAGAACCTAGAGAACCATCTCTTATGTTTTGACATCAGAAAATCTTGAGATGTTTCTGCTCAACACATATAAGAGGATCATTCTTTATGTTTATCTCTACTTAATAGTTGAAAGTTGTTAAAGTCAAATCTACTTAAAAGAAGAGCAGAACTGCATACAATTGGGCATAATCAGAGTGTTTCTTCAACAAACTCCTTATGAACTGCATATAATGTATATTGACTAAGAAGTGGTTCTCCTGATGTAGGCCACCCTTGAAGAGTTTACTTCTTGGGTAAGAAAGCTCCACATAGTTTTGATAATGTTTTTCTAAACATATCTAGACTATATGCAACTTCCAATATTGAAAATTTTAAAGCCCATTGGGTTACTACTTTTTATGCTTTTAGAGGAAGGCAATAAGTTCAATAGGTTGAACTTACTTGATGGAACTTCAGAAATATATTTTTAAAAAAACTTAAAGGAACTGAATAGAATTAGTTGAATAAATTCATTGTTTTGTGAGAAGAGAACAGGGTGTATACTTATTAGGTAGAGAAAATGTCTACATATAAACTAGCTACAATAAAAACAAAACCTTTATCCTTGGCCTTCTCAAACTGGCATTATTAGTTGAGAAACAGAAATAGAGGTTACTTTCTAGAATACATACTCTGTAGAATGAAAAAATTTCATGATCAAACCCACATGAGTCAGGCTGTTCCAGGCAACCACAGCTACCTATGACTATGAACATTGTTCATTTAGATCAGGTACATACTAGTTCAGGATGATTAGGAAGGCCACATTTTTTGCATGGTTCATCATCGTCTGCTATGATGGCTTCTTCACTTTCCTTTTCTTCTTCCTCTTCTGAAGCTGCAGATGATTTTTCACTGTCAGACCCATCACTTTCATCATTACTGGAATATTTCCACCTGCCTCGTGTTCGAGAACCAGTCCACCGAACTTTGCCTTTGGGTTTTACCTTGGGCAAAATAAAAAATTGACATAATTTGATATAAGAAGAAAAAAAAAAAAACTAAACTCCTCCTGATTGCATGTCCCATGTGGAATACATGAAGAAAAAAATAAAAATTATAGTCTGATCACCTGGATATACCTACTATTAAATTTTGGTGTATATGTTCACTACTATTTTCTGGTTTGGGGAGAGTTTTACATGGGATTATAATGTCATATAGTTTTTCTAATCATTGTATGTTCTCTTTACTATTAGTGACTATATAATACGTTATCACATGGCTGCATCACCTGGGTGTATATATCACCTATAGACATTTAGGTAGTTGTTTCCCATTTTTTCACTTTCATGAATAATGTATCCGTTGAAATATAAATTTTAACACACATCGTGATGGTTAGGATAAATTCCTCGAAGAGGATTCTGGGTCAAAGGCCATGTACATTTTAAAGGTTCTATCAATAACAGAAGGATGACTATATACTCACTTATTATTATGCAAAAATGTAAAGCTTTAATAATATTAAAGATGAACCTAAAAATTTCAAGAGGGTCAGACTTGTATAAAAAATGCTGACAAATTTTAAAAGAATATTATTCAGAGAATAAGTTTCCAACATTGTTAACAATTTTTTATTGCCTAGTTTTATAATCTTTTTTAAATATTTATTTTTTTAGTTGTAGTTGGACACAATACCTTTATTTTATTTATTTATTTTTATGTGTGCTGAGGATTGAACCCAGGGCCTTGCACATGCTAGGCTAGTGCTCTACCACTGAGCTACAACCCCAGCCCCAATTTTATATCTTTTAATGCATATTTCATTTCATTCCCATACTACAGGTCTCCAGCAAAGAACTAAATAATTTTTATCAGAAAACGTTTTTCAAAGTATAGAACTAAAAACTCAGTATTTCAGGGAACAAAGGTTCACCTGCAACGAAGAATAACCTTATCCCTTAAATAAATTAAAAACAACTCTTGTTTTTAATTTATTTAAACGATAACACTAGTCAAAGATTTGTATATTTTACTTAAAATGAGGTGGTTACAGAAAAAAGAATTCTGGCTTCCAAGACTAATGATTTAAATGGTGGAAACAGGCACTCTCAGATACTGGTAAGGAAATGATATATTACTAGGGCCTTTTTGGAGGCAATGTGGCATGCCCCTTGACCCAGCAATTCCAATTCTAGGAGTCTATTCTAAAGAAATACTCACTCATGTCCAAATGGATCTTCAATGCAGCATTGCCTGTAATAGTGAAAAATTGGAAACAACCTAATGTCAATTAATAAGGGAGTGGTTAAAAGAACTGAGGTATATCCACAATATGAAAATACTATGTGGCCATTAATAAACACAAGTAGACTGATCTCCTGACATGGAAAAATAGATACACTGTTAAGTAAAGCACTCACAAAAAATGAACACACAGGACCCGATTTATTTTGTAAATTATAGGTAAAATGTTTATAAACATATATATGAATGCATGAAAAACAGATGGAAACAGTATGCACCCCAATCTGTAAAACTGGTTATGGGAAATTTCATTTTATAATCCTATAGGTTGTGTATTTTTTTAAAGAGAGAGAGAGAAGGGAGAGAGAGAGAGAAAGAGAGAGAGAATTTTTTTTAATACATATATATTTTTTTTCAGTTTTCGGTGGACACAACATCTTTATTTTATTTTTATGTGGTGCTGAGGATCAAACCCAGAGCCCCGCGCATGCCAGGCAAGCGCGTTACCGCTTGAGCCACATCCCCAGCCCCACAGATTGTGTATTACTTGAATAATTTACAACAAGAATATATTTCTAATACTGCCTGTAATAGAAAAAAAAATGTTTAAAAGATAAGAATGACTATGCTTTAGCCTAAAGCAAAAAAGCTATAAACACTCAGATTTAAATATTCCTTATTAAAATTTAAAATTCAGAGTAGAAGTTTTACCTTGCCTCCTTTAGAGTTTGTATCCTTCTCCAGTTTTTTCAAATTTTCTTTTTTGTCTGTTTTTTGCAAGGCTGCTGACTCTTCTTCCATATCATCTTCTCCTTCCCCTCTTTTTTTATCAGCTTTCTGATCTCTGATCTCAGCCACTTTTGCTGTAGGTCTAGATATTCTTGGAGATCTCCTTAAAGTAGGGCCCACATTTGTTTTCTCTTCTTCTTTTTCTGTCTTCTCTTGCTTGCTTTCTGGTTCTGGAATTTGGGCAGGACAATCTGGCTTCTTCTTCCGACTAGATATCCTAATTGTTAATTTGATGCCTTCTTTCTGCCTTTCAGAGGTTATCTCTGTATTTTCTGAGGCAGTTGTTTCTTCTTCAGGAACCAACTTATATTTAAATTTGCTTTTTTGCACAGAACCCTTTGTTTCAGAAGGATCCTCATTGTCTAGATTATCCATTTCTACTTTCTTGGACTCAGAATCCCTTTTGAGAATTTCTGGGTCTACTTTTTCCAGGAACTGACCTTCAAAAGAACTTGTACTCTGACACTCTACCCCTTCTTTTTCTAAGTCTGGTTTTTCACAATGCCCAGTCATTTTAGTTGGTGGGAAAGTTTCAGATGCGTCAGGAGGACTTGGTGGTTCTGATCCTAGAGTACTCTTTGGAACTTCTTCTGGTATGGGACTCAATCTTTGTGAGTCTTTATCAAGAAAAGTCTTTTTGGACTTCTCTAACTTTTCAAGACATTCTAGGATTGGTGGACTCTTATCCTTCTTACTTTTGGGGGACTTCTCTTCAAATTTCATGGTACAGGATTCAGTGACAGATAAAGCAGTTTTTAAAGAGAGATCCTTTACTATCTCAGAATCTGACTCAAGAGAAGTTTCCATTTCTGGAGGACCAGGTTCCTCTAACTGCCCTTTTTGACTCTGGGTCTCTAAGACTGAGACTGAACTATCTACAACCTTCCCTAAAAGGACTTCTTTCTCAAGCTCACTTATTTTCAAACTCGTTATGACAGAATTTAAGCATTCTGCTCCATTCCCCTCCATGATGACACTTCTATCCTTAGAAGAGCTATTGTAGACATCTTCCTTTGTATCATAAAACTTTGTCTCTATTTGTTCTGTCTTCAAAGTTGGAGTTACCTTTTCATCACCAACTTCTCCATTTACCATTAGTCTCCCTTCATGACTCAAAGTAGTAATGGTAGAGATCCTTTTACAAGTCTCTTCCTCTTGTTTTACTTCATCTTTTAAAAACTCTTTTGTTGGAGTAACTGATTTACATAAAGGTCCTTTGACTGGACTGTCAAAATCATCACTCAGTTTAATTTCTCGTTTTTTTAGTGGAATCTTGGCTTGCTGGTCATTTTTAAGTTTCTCAGTTTCTTCAGTAGATTTCTCTGTAATTTCTTGAGAAGATCTGATATTGCCACTAAACTCTAGCCTCTCGGGTTCCTGTACCACCAGTTTCTCCATGCTACCTTTGACATCTTTGGGATCTGCTCTGCATTCCTTCACTTCGATTTTAATGGGTTTGACATTTTCCTTGAAAGAATCACTTTCTTCTTTGACAATCTTTTTTTCCTCGATTTCTGGCAAAGTTTTTTCTACCTTCACTATTACTGGCAGTTTCACAAGTTCCTTTTGATCTTCTTTTTCAATTTTCATAGTAGTCTCTTCTAGAACACTGGCTGTAGAACAATTTACTGAATCTACTAGCCTCGCTTCACCTTTTGTCTTTTCATTTTCCTTTTGTTCCTCTAAAAAAAAAAAATCAGAAAAAGTTTCAGTGAACAGAGCTTTCAAGATTATAATATATAACAGACTTAATATATTTCCATTTATTGTTTCTCTCTTCGCAGGGGTAGCATCTCTTTGTGATTGGGTATTTGACCCCCCCCGCCCCCCGCAAAAAATCTGACAATTAAGAAAATGACAAAATTGTGAAGCACAACTTCCAGATATTAAAAAATTGCTATTTAGACAGACTCAGGTTACTGCTTTTTACTTTTAGTTCCAGTGTTCTCAATGGAATGTAAATATTTATACAGCTCAAATAATTTAGTCAAGCTTAAGGGATGGCTCAAAAATATGAAGCAGAAAATGCTACATAAAACATTGCCAAAAGGCCATATTTGTTTCATAAACTGACAATGTTCTTCTTTGCAAGTCACTGAGGACTTTATTTCAGTGAAGTAACATGAGCAGAGGAAAAATGAAAAAAGAAAAATAAAATAATGCTCAAAGGGAACTGCTAATAATATTTTAGGCTACCTCTGGTCATTATTTTTCACAAAATTGGGGTCACTCTGCTTTCGATTTTTTTTTACAGAAACATTAGCCCTTTTTTATGTTAATGTGACCTTTTAAAAAATCATTATTCATGACTATATTACATGCCTTGATGTGGTTATGCTACAGTTCACTTTACCAAATGGCTTTATTGATCATTTAAGTTAATATTTTACAAAGAAACTATTAATGCTTATATTTCCATTGCCTCTTTTTACCTTGTTGACTATGTATTTTCAGCCTTAACAAAGTACCTAATAGTACATATTTAAACATAACAAAAGCTAAAATCAAGTAAAAAGCATAAATCTCATGGGTAATCACAGAGATTGCACTGTATTTTCCAAATAAATTACTACTAATTTTAGTACATGTTCCATCCTTTCACCTTATCCTTGGAATGGAAAAACTTTAATTCTAAACGAAGTTTTACTGAGATATAAACTTAAAAACTTGAAGATTTTTGTCAATAAGCAAAGAGTAACAATTCAGAAGGATGTAAGTGGAGTAGATAAAAAGTGGGGAGATGAAACAGTGCATTTTTTAAAAATGAGAATTCTATTTTTAACTAAAGTGAATATTTTTACTACAAACTTCTTAAAAAATGTCTAATCATGTTTCAAATAAAATACTCAAAAACCATTTAGGACTCTTTGGACCTCAAGATTAAATTATCACAAAGTGCACAGATGCATTCTACCATCATGTATAACTAATTAAACCCAAATTACTATCTTTTAAATTAATTTCAACCAAACATTGTTAATATTGAACACAACTGAATATTTTTTCTATATACCTGTGGTTCAGGCATCATGATAGAACCTCACTGTGATCCTGACTCAAGGTAAGATTACATGTTTTTATTTGGAGTCAACTGATTTTAATTTGAGTAACAGTATGGCAGAATGAAATGAGAGATAAAATTAGATTGAAAACTCTTGGGTTTATCAAACCTAATTCAGAGAGTGGTATGTTATACTTGTATATATTTGTACTAACCCATCTTTTGTACTAACACAACTTTCTGCCTTTGTTACTTAATCTACTAATAAAGCAGCTGAACTAAATAACCTCCCCTAGTATTCTTCAAAAGTGTTGTATTTCTGTAATTCCAAAAATGTTAAATCATTGAAAATTTAGGATATGGTTAAGTCCTTTTAAGAGAAAAATTTGATAATTATTATTATAGCTCCCCTAGATTACATGGATATGTATACAGAACAGAAGGATCCTGACAGAATATGAACTTTTGAAAGCACTAGTAACTGGCAAAAAGGTCATTCAATTATATAAACATTTCCCCAAGGGCAGTCAAAAGGAAATTGTAAATGAGTTTAAGAGGCAGAAATTTGAGGCAACAAAACTAAAGGAAAAAAATCACTTCAAAAATCACAATGCAGCAGCAACATTTCTCAATAAACTTCAAGAGAACTGGTATTTTTCAAAGCTGGTCCATTCATTTACTCAACAAATATTTATTTATTATCTGTTATGAGATTTCTCACCCTGCTATACTGGGTGAGAAATCAAACACTGAATATTCCATGTAAATTAACAGTAGAGGACATCACTAGTTGCTACTCAATATTTAATCTCTTGTACTAACACAACTCTGACTTTGTTTAGGAAGCCTCCTTGATCAAGCACCTTATAGCAATGGGTCATATGATATAGTAATGATCAATGAGATGCATGAAGATGTCATGAATAAGAGGATTTAGCTGAACTGAACTGTTGCCCTAATTTAATTTTCTTTGTGTCTAGACTCTGAACATCATACCTCCAGGAGCAATCAAAGCCACAAGAAAAAAAACAGAAACAGACTAAGTAAAGTTCTTGACTTAATGGAGCTCCCAATTCAGACTAGACTCATCACTTTTCATTATAAGAAAAAAATTTTAAAGTCAAATGCATTTCTTTCTGATATTTTAACTTTCACTTTTGTTTCTTACTATCCTTGTTTCCCATGCTCACAAAAATCTATGTATCTACTTCTTATATTTTACACTTGTCATCTTTTGGGTGATAAAGGGGTAACTAATCCATAATAAAGTTTTAGTTATTTTATAGTGATCATATTTTGCAATTAGACATGAGAAAACTCAAAACAATAGAGTAGTTCCAAACTAAAATCTTAAAAACTTACATGTAAATTAGCACAAACACTTAACAGAGCAATTTAGAATTATCTGTTTTAAGCTTAAAGAAATATACTCCATCACTAAGAAATTCTATTTCTAGAGAGTACAATTACATACAACTACCCAGAAATATATACATGAATATTTACTGCAGTACTGCTGTAGAAATAATAAACAAGAAAAATTCTAATACAGCTCAAATGGGGAAAAGGACAAATAACCACTTTATGATGAATAAAATGAAAAAAAAAAGAATGTATATGGATTAACACACATAAATCTCAAAAGCAGAATGAGTAACAAGTTGTAAAAGACTAGGAACAGCAGGATTTTGTGGAGCGGGTACTGGGAATTGAAGGGGCAAAGCAACATCGTCAATTATTTTTTGTATTTTGAGACAGGGTCTTGCTAAATTGCAGATGCTGGGCTCCGGCTTGAGATCTCTGGCCAGAGCTTACCAAGTCACTGAGATTACAGGTGTGAACCACAGCGCCCAGCCAGTAAAATACCTTTTTTAAAAGAAAAGTTATGAAACACTCAAACCAATGCTATTTATTAAAGTGACCATATACATATGTGCAAAAAACAAATGACAGGAAATGAGTCACAGGGTTGTAGTTACTCCTGAAAATGGGAATAAGGAGGAATGAGAAGGAAAGTGAAAAGAAATACCACCTATTTTTTAAACGAAAGAAAATTTGGGCAAATCATTGAGAACTACTATATCAAAATGTTGGGTATACAGTGTTTTACATTCTTTGTATATCTGAACTGATTCATTAAAAATTGAGAAGGTCACTTGAGCTCACACACCTAAAATTCCAGTGACTCAGGAGGCTAAGACAGGAGGACAGCATGTTCCAGGCTAGCCTCAGCACTTAGAAAGACCTTGTCACAAAATAAAAAATGGCAGAGATATGAAAAATTGTGGTATATATGTGTATTAATAATTGTAATGCAAAAAAAGAAGTACATGTATAAAGGCATAAATTGGCATGAACATACTTTATATACAGAGATATGAAAAACTGTGCTCATATGTACAATAAAAATTATAATGCATTGAACTGTGGAATAGCTGAACTTTTTTAATGAAGTATATGGACTACTTTTGCATAGTACTTGGGAATCATTATTAATTATTTGGCACCATTTTCTTACCATTAACTTTAGCCACATCAGAACATTCAGGATTTAAAAGAAGAAGCGGGGAGCGGGGTGAGGAAGGAGGAGAAGGAGGGAAAGGTGGGGAGGAGGAGGAGGAAAATTAGTTCAGAATTTCCTAAAGCTGCGACTAACAGTTTTCCTCTGTTAACTAACAAAAAGCCATTTATATCTATTCTGCAGCTTTTACCATTCCTCACTTTCTCCATTGATTAAAAAGTTACATAAAACGGTTAAGTATCATCAACTATTTTCTAGGGTTTTTAATGACTGCAGATAATACAACATCCAAGTCCTTCAGGCAAGTGGCCATGGCAAGCACTCAATGTCAACTATATAATTATTATATTACTGGCAAAATCTACCAGCCTTCAAGCACAGTTAGAAACTCGCTGTTTTATAGTTCTATTAACTGATTCTTTCCCTATAAAGAATTAACAAATTTTCCTCTGTTTGCACATTACTTTATATAGATTTTTATAATAGCATTTATTACCCCGCATTATAATTATTTACTCAGAAATGTTATCTGTCCTACTGGTCTGAAGAATTACTCCTCTGGAGCAGAATCATGGATTATTCACTGTACGACACCTGCTTAACTAGACTGAACAAATTGAAATGGCAACAAATCCTACCCCACATGTTGACAAATAACAGTAATAACTTTTAAGATACATTAACAGGGAGCAGATTGTAAATCAATATTTAATTTTAAATTATTTGAAGTATATCTGATCAATTTACAAAGTAAGATTTGGGCAAGGACATAACATATTCAACAGATGCTAAATCTTTTGCCTCAGCCTCCCAAGTTGCTGAGACTACAGGCAGGAATTCCTTAGCCTGGCACCCCCAACCTTTCTAATAAATTTTGTTTTTAAAATTTTTAATTTAGTTTTTGTGTTACTGAGGATTGAACGCAGGGCCTTCAACAGATACTAGGCAAGCACTCTACCATACATCCTCTGCTGAGCTACATCCTCAGCCCTTTTCTTCCTTGAGCAAGGGTCTTGCAAAATTGCCCAGGGTGGCCTTGAATTTACAATCCTCCTGAGGAGCTGGGAATACAAATGTGAGCCACCATGCCCAGCTATGTAATCTCAATTCTGATAAAGAAATAAATAAGTAACCATGCCTAAAATAAACCCTAGAAGAAA